TTCAGAGCATAATCTGCCCGATATTATGGAATGAAGGCTGTTCAACCCTTGAGAGCGTCCATGGCCTCCATATCAGAATGGGTTGATGTCGCCAGAGGAGAGTTGTGAGGGTGCGGCCAAGGAGGATCCGTTTGCTCGACACACATGTCGAAGGGCTGATACGGTTACCTGCAGCAGGCCGCCGCGTCACGAAGTATTCAACGCAGTATTCACCGAAGATCGAGCTGGAAAGGGAAGATACGGTTTGATTCCCATTGGGTATCATCCAGGGGATGGATTTGTTGACTGTCGAATCGAGAATGGCGAAGACCTGTGGAAACCCGCCATCCGGGGGGTTGATTTGAACAAACTGATGTACCTTCCCAGTCTCTCGGAGTTAACCAACGGCTGGGGGGTTTTTGGGGGTCTTTGGCTTTCCCAACATGGCCGAGCTTGAATCACGACAGACCCGTTCGCTCTTCTCTTCATCACCTCTCTCGAAAACCTTTACAACCACTTTCTCTTCCCATCCAGCTTCAAGTGCCCACAAACCAAACCCAGCAAAAACAACTCAAACTCCAGCCAAGATGAGCAAGATCAAGACAGAGCCGATCGACGGCCTCGGCAACCACATCTACCTCGAGAAGCAAGACAGGCTCCGCGAAATCGGCGTCGACATCCCCACTTCGCAAGTAAGGCAACTGAGCGCAACCACAGCTCTCCCAGTAGAACTGACCGCAGCGCCAGATTGTCGTCGTCGGCAGCCAGTCGTCCGGCAAGAGCTCGCTGCTGGAGAGCATCACAGGCTTCTCGTTCCCGCGGGGCCAGGGCCTCTGCACGCGATACGCGACGCAGATCACCCTGCGCCTGCAGCCACATCACGAGCACCGTCATCTCCATCATCCCGCACAGCGACTCCGACCAGGACCGCAAGGACGCCTTGCGGAACTTTCATCACGAACTGACCGACTTCGATGGCAAGACCCTTGTGGATGTCATTAACAAGGTGGGTGATGACTTGTTCCATACCGCTTGTCGCCGTCCAGCTAGAGGTGCTAACTGCTGTCGTTCTAGGCCAACAAGACGATGGGAATCCGATCTGGTGCTACCCAGGATGACACCTCGTTGCCCATGTTCAGCGACGACATCCTGAAGATCGAGATTTCAGGCCCCGAGGTTCGTAGATGTGGCGGCAGGCCGTGCGGGTCTGACCGAAATGCTAACTAAAGATGACAGAAACCCCACCTCACTGTGATCGACGTGCCCGGCCTGTTCCAAGTTACCGATGAAGGTTCGTGCCAATGCCTGGTCGAGGGAGACCCAGACACTGACTCGTCGCAGGCGTTACCACCGAGATGGACAGGTCCAAGGTCGAGAACATTGGTGCGGAGGTACATGGAGAATGAGCGTACAATGTGAGTTGCCCTTTGAGACCATCTCTCACCGCCAAAGTACTGATCTGGCCCTCCTCGCAGTGTTCTAAGCCGTCCTCAGCTGCCCTTTCCGAACCGCGCCACCCGAGGGGGTACTTTGCAGTTCGCCCAAGACGGCCGACCCGCAGGGTGTGAGGGACGGTCGGCGTCCTCACCAAGGCTGACCTGGTGACAGAGCAGGCTGTGGTAGCAGACGCTTCTTCATCTTGTCAAGGGCAACATCCCTCAAGCTCGGCTACTTCATCGTCCGCAACCGAGGCGCCGACGAGGACACGTTGAGCATCGCCGAGTGTCAGATGAAGGAGCAGGAGAAGTTCGCGGAGCCGCTGTGGGCTGAGCTGACCAAGCTCGGCCGCACTGGTGTGAAAGCCCTGCGAGCCGAGCTCCAGGGTTTGTTGACCGAGCTCGCGAGGCGGGAGCTGCCGAAGCAGAGGGCTGAAGTGGAGCAGCGGCTCGCCGACTGCCGCAGGAGCCTTGAGTCAATGGGCCCCCCGAGGGACAGCGCGGCTAGCCAGCGCGAATGCCTGGTCAAGCTTGCCGCCCGGTTTGAGCGGATCGTCCGTGACGCCCTCGATGGTCGGTATGACGGCAATCCGATCTTCTCCGAGAAGCCCGAGTTGAAGATCGCCACGAAAATCATGGACTTGAACGAAGGATTCACCGACCTGGTGTGGAAGAAGGGCCACACCTGGGAGTTCAAGGCAGAGTCCCAGCACCACAGAGATAACGTCGACAATTTGCTGGAGTACGAGAAAATGTCAAACGCTGTTCTCACCTCCACCACTTCGACCCCCGAGCTTGAGCAGGTCATTTGCGACCACGCGGACTGCCCCGCGCCCCTGACCGAGGATATCATGGGCCAGATCGAGAAGTACTACAAGGAAAGCCGAGGGCCTGAGTTGGGCACGGTACGTCTGTCTCACATTTGACCGTCGAGCATGAAGCTAATCGTGTGCAGTTCGGCGGGGCTCTGCTGTCCTTGACATTCCGGGCGCAGACATCCAAATGGCGAGCCATCGTCATGACCCACGTCGAGACCGTGATTGTGGTTGCACACCGCTTCATCAAGACGGTGTGGCTCGAGACGATCGGGGACCAGCGTATACGGGAAGAGTTGTGGGGGTTGGTCCTCCTCGAGAAGCTCCAAACCGCGTACATCCGGGCCAAGGACCATGCCCAGTTCCTCCTCGACATCGAGGTCAATGGCCGGCCGAGGACGTACAACCACTACTTCAGCGACAACGTCCTGAAGGCGAAAGCCGAGCGGTTGACGCAGGTCTTGATCGAATATTCGGATCACCGCGGCGGGGACGATTACGCCATTTTCAACTCCACCATTGGCCAGATGGTGGAGGACAAAAGCATCGCCGATCAGACCAAGGAGGACGTTCACGACATCTTGGAGAGCTATTACAAGGTCTCGCGCAAGAGGTTTGTCGACGCCATCTGCCAGCAAGCCATCGACCACTTCCTGCTCGACGGCGTCGGCAGCCCCCTGAAGGTGCTGAACCCGGAGCTCATTTCGAAGATGAGCGACACCCAGCTGGACGTGATCGCCGGCGAGGATGTCACCACCAAGCGGGAGCGGGAGCGCCTCGGCGCTGAGATCCAGGGGCTGGAGGCCGCGATGAGGGTTATCCGGGGTTAATCGGGGTCGTGTCATGGGCTGCGCAACCTGCAAGTAGCGCCGGCGGTAGCATCGTTTCGGATAGTTGTCGCGGCTAGTCAGTCGGGTTGTAGAGTAGTCCCCGTTCCCCCATCAAGTTACCATCGCCCTCAAATACCATTCAAAGTGTTTTCTAGACGTCAGCCTCCATCTCAGCCATTTTCTCATCCATCCTCCTAGCCATCTCCTCCTCCGGATCCACGCCATTACTCCCATTCCCTCCCACCACCAACCCCCTCCTCCCCAACTCCGCCTCCACATCCCCCCTCGTAACCATCCCCTTTTCCACTCCCATCCCCCTCAAATCCTCCCTCATCGCCGCCCCCCACCCCTCCACACTCCGCATACCCACCACCAAGAACCCCAACTCCTCCCTCTCCACATCAAACACCTCCCACCATTCACACTCGGGCATCTTGGCCCCCACATCGCGCGCCGCATTGTACACGGCCGCGACCGCCAGGGCGTTCGGCTGGCTGGTCAGGTACAGCATCTGGGGCGACAGCAGGGCGGTGTTCAGGTAGGCGACGGCGCGGGGGCCCAGGCCGGCCGGCCCGTCCTTGGCGCGGCGGCCTAGGAAGTCGAGCGCCTGCAGGTAAGTGACGGCCAGGGCGTGGGGCAGGGCGACGTGGGTGTCGAAGGCGAGGGCGTGCAGGGCGCGCGCCTCGAGCGCGAGCAGGCGCGTGTGGAAGGCCTGGTAGGCGCTCTCGGAGCGGTAGTGGGGTGAGTGTGTGGTGGCTGGATCGTGTGGTGGCGGGGGCGGGGCGGTCGGTGGGTGGAAGAGCGCGGTTGTCGGGCGTGAGGCGAGGTAGCCGTAGACGTTGCAGAGGTCGCGGGGGGAGCGGGGGTGCGGGGAGAGCTTGGCGGTGAGGTAGAGGATTGCGGCGGAGGTGTCCTGTATGCGAGAACGGGGGCAGGTGGTTAGTAGTTTGGAGGGGGTTGAGGAGAGAGAAGGGAGGGAGGGAAGGGTTGGCTTACGCTAAATTCATGGGACATCATTGACTCAATGAGCCAATACCTCGCTAGTAGCACATTGGCTTGGGCGGTGACGGATTGGGGGAGCTGGAGGAGGAGGCCGGCTGCTTGGGTCAGACATTGTGTGGCGAAGAAGATGGTGTCTTGGAGTTCGATTGGGAGGGAGCCGTAGGAGCGGCGCTGGAATAATTGGTCTGGCGTGGCCAGAGGGTTTGCCATGTGCGCATATGAGCTGCTGTCGGGTTTAGGGGTTGTGTGGAAAGTGGCAGGCCCGGGAGTTGGGAGTTGGGTGTGTGATGTTTTTGTTCCAAGGCCCGATTGGAGCCGCAGCGATGTTGTCGGTGGTCGTGCATGAGCTCAACCAAAACCTCCCACATCTCTGATCCAGGGTTAGGGTATCACCACCTCTTACACCGGGAGCATCAACGAAGCCATTGACAAGACGGCAGTAATCAGCTATTGTTTGGGGAAATATGAGATTGTTGGTCAAGCTATTGGTATTCATTTAAAAAACATCGGTCGTTATTTAAGAGTGTGTGGCGAAGAGCAGCTAAAAAACAATGATGCAGTATCCCTTTCTTTCGAAACTCCCAAACCCCCAAACTTCCCAATAACAAATGGTGAAGGCTCAGATAAACACCAAAAAAGAAGGGTTGGTTGTATAACCATTCATTTCGATCCACCCAGGGGTCGAACCTGGAACCTCCTGATAACTTGATCAGATCTCCCTCGATATCCCAGAGGAGGAGTGAGTCGTACAATCGTAGTCAGACGCTCTGCCATTGAGCCAGCGGACCTTGTTGGGATTTGTTGAAGGCCAAGACTCAGTTTGCGGCTCTTATTCGAGAGAATGGGGAGTGTGTGGAGTTGGGGGATGCCATTAAACCAACTGGTTGGAGAAGGGGGAAATTCTCTGCTGGTTGTGTGGACTTTGGCTGGGTCGGCTGTGGGGTGAGACTGGAGTGTTTTTGATATGCAGGATCCACAGCCAGAACTCGTGAGGTATCTGCGAGAGTGGTGACGGTTTCTGTATTTGTGTCGTGGCCACGCTGACGAGTGAAGTGAACAGAAAGGTTTCCTTGGTTGCGGTATGTGGCATTTGATGATATCGAAGCATTACCTTTCGTGTTCAGTGTCTACCTAGTGTATAAGGCGAAGTTACCTATGTTTCGATCCCGCGTTGTACATACCTGTAGATTAGCTGTGGTTCTCACTCATAACAACCCTCAACATCACGCAGGGACACGGCTCAAATGGCGAGAGATTCCACCCATCTGCGTATCTCCCTATTCCAACTTCAAACTCGCCCGAAACTCCTCAATCGGCACTGCCTTCTCAACCAGTTCCACTCCTCCATCCGCCCCCGCCACCGGCCTCCTCTCCAACGTCCACAGTTCCCTGACCCCCAAACTCTCCAAATACCCCAACCCCTTCCAGTAGTTCGTCCCAACCTGCGCAATCCCATGGCTATCATCGCCAAACGTCCACCTCCCGCCCATGCGCGTCCACTCCTCGGCAATCTCCCTCTTCGGATACGGCTCGGGGAGCTTCTTGCGCAGCCCGCTCGTATTACACTCCAACCACCCACCATACCCCTTCACAAACTCCAAATTCCGCACCACCCTCTCCCACACCCCGGGCCACTCCCCGCCCTTCAACTCCCTCCCCGGCACCCGACTCAATCAAACCTGGACCAGATTCAAAATGCCCCCACCACCCCTCGAGCTCCAAGCGCCCTTCAGCCATATTCCATCTAGCTCATCAAAAATACACCTCAAAATAACCCCTCCTCCCCGCGCGCACCACCACAAACCGCCACCGCCCTCGCATAAGGTAGAGTCGTCATAGTCGATGGGCACGCCGCGCGACGTGGTGGATCGAGCCGATGAAGTAGTCGACGGCCGGGGTGGGCGGTCGAGGGAGCGGATGAGGGGCCCGTAGGCGGGCCGGATCCATTCGCCTTCGAAGGCGATGAGGATGTGGATTTGTGGGGCGTAATATGCTTGCAGGCGGCGCGCTTCGGCGAGGTAGGCTGCGTGTCGCGGGGCGAGGGCCATGAGGGAGATTTCGGGGGTGGGGAGGAGCTGGTGAGGGGCACGGAGGGGTTAGGTAGATTGTTTGGGTTGGGTTGGGGGTGGTGATGATGTGATGATGGTAGGGGGAGGAGGGGGGTGTTGCTGAGGTGAGTTGAGAATTTAGAATGCGCATGTACATGCCTCTTCAGGATAGAGGTCGGTTACATGGGTGCGCGGCATGTGCTCGGTGAGGCCGATGGTCTTGTAGCCGACCTTGATGGCGTGGAGGATGATGTCCTCGAGCTGGTCCTCGGCGTGGCCGGGGCAGAACTGGCCCGAGTGGGAGTGCATTGTGAATGCCATGGCGACGGTGGTAAACGAGGGAGTTATCGTTGGGGGATCAGGTCAAGTAAGATCTGAGGTTAGAAGGATGCATGCACACGTGTTGGATTTGAGAAGTAGAAATAGTGAATGTTAGATGCCAAGGCTCCGGAGTCAATTCTCGCCACTCCCCCGCATACACCTCCACCGGGTTTACATACCACACAGCTAGGGGGTTGGGCAGGGCGAGGGGTTACAAACCGCATCTAGGGGTGGTGGTCAGTGGGCGAGGGTGCCAGCTAGCTAAACCAATACAATAAATAGATACAATAACAAACGAGTAACTAGCAAATTAGTAATTCCCTGAGTGAACCATCACCTTTCCAAGCATAGCTGTAGCCGCTGGGCGCACCGGAGGCCAAGGGCGAAAGCAGGCCCTGATATCCTGATCCGGCGGGGACTCAATCCAATCTTCTAGGCCTAGAGTGTTCAATGGGTGTGTCCAGACGGCTCTGAAATGGAGAGGTAGGGAGGTCTGGCTCCACATCAGCAGCTATGTGTGGTAAACGCCGTCCGTCCTGGCGCGTGGGTTGCACATCACTCTTAATTTTGAAGAGCTAGAAAGCGGTCGCAAGAAAGGAGAACAGTTGGATCTACTAGAATATATGAATAGGAAGCCGCGCGTATAGTAAGACAACTGATATAGCCATTTCTATTTTACTATTCACTTTCTCATTTCCAGCTCGCCCAAAAACAAACAAAATGGTACGCAACAGGCACGCATCCGCCATGACGGATGTGTTTGCCACACACAGCAATGTTGCTGTCATTTTACCCATACAAGGACGCAACAAGTAAAACAACAACCCGAAGGCAGAGAGGGTATCTCCCCACCAGACGAAATAAAAAAGAGAATTCTCCTTTGCTCCTCTAACCTGTAAAACAACAGCAAAAGATAAAACATAAAACTCGAATAGCTAATCCCCCCACTCCGACAATATAAACATATCCCAGTACACACACACCCGCCCACACATCCCGAACACACTACCACCCTCGCCCCTCAAACCCTCAAGCCGCCGCCTCCGTCACCAACGCCTCCCCCTCATCCAACAAATCCGTCACCTTCTTCAGATTCCCAATCAAGCTCCGGCCCAGCCCGACCAGCAGCAACTTCTCGGCGTTCGCTGGCAGGCCCAGATAGGTAGGCGGTTCGCGCTCGGGCAGTTTCTGGATCCAGCCCATAAACTCCTGCAGCGACGTGCCGGCGGGCACGACCAGCTCGACCGAGTCGGCGCCGGCAGCGACATTATTATTCTCGGCCGCCGCCGTGACAAGCTTGTGGCCGATCTCGAACGCGGCCGGCGTGAGGAAGGTGTGCACCAGCTCGCGGAGCGCCCCAAAGTCGGCCTCGTCGTCGATCTTGCCGCCGTACGTCTCCGTCACCAGGTAGCGGATCATCTCCCAGGGGATGTTGGCGGGCGCGATGTTGGTGCGGTTTTGGGCTGTGGCGTCGACCCACGTGTCGATGACAAAGGCGGAGCATTCGTACTAGTTGTCGGGTTAGCCGCTGTTGATATCATACCACAGGAGTAGAATAAGCAAATAGAAGAACTCACATCAGCATCATTGAACTCCCAGAACCCCTTCCACCCCAAGTTCGGCGCGTACCGCAGTCTCTCCTGCACAACAGCATGCAAAAACGAGAGCAACAAATACAACCTCGTCCTCTCCACAGGGCTCTTGACCGACCTCGTCGACAGCGACGACATGGAGTCCTTCATGTTGGCGCGCACACCCGCAGGCTGCTCGTACATGAGCACACGGCTGGCCCGGAGCAGGTTGACGGGGATTTTGGGTGATGACTCCATCGACAGGAACAGCCGGAAGTCCTTGTTGGGGTTCAGCGACTCCATGCGTTTCTCCAGGCTCTGCAGCCACGTCGGCGCGAGGTGGACGTTCTTGATAAGCACCCACGATCCCGTCTGCGCCGCATTGGCGATGGCCTTGTCCGCGCTGGCGAGCCCTTCGTTGGAGCCCATGGCGATGTTAGTGCAGCGCACGCGCATGCGCTCCACGAGCGAGTCGACCTTGTACGAGGCGTCGAAACCAGGGCTGGAGACCAGCGAGACCGGCCGCGTGGCCGAGACTTGGTCGACCGTCAGCTTGAGGTCCTCGACCACGTCAAAGAGGTCAGAGCCAAAAACCAGCGTGACGAAGCGCTCGGCTGCCGGGACGAAGCGGTCGAGGCGGAAGAGCTTGACAAGCAAGAGCGACATGAGCGCTTGGTCCGCAGGCTCGGTGCTGTCGTCCCAGATCTTGGGCACGAAGTTCTCGGCGAGCTCTTCGCTGAAGAACTTGTCCCAGTCGGCGTCCGCAACACCATCGAGCTTCTCCTTGAGCGGCGCGATCCGTTTGGCACGTAGGAATACATCCTCCTTAGCTTCGACGTCAGACGATACATCCTTGCCCTCAACCCGCTCGTCCAGTATCACATCCAGCAGGCCCTTGTCCATTTTATACGGCGACGCCTGAGCAAGCAGCATCGCCAGAGTGACGCGGTCCTTCTGTAGCAGACCCAATGCCGTACGCTTAAACGCGCTCACGAACAGGTCCTTGACGATAATGTCGCGACGCACGGTGTGGTTTAGCTCGCCGGCCAGGTGCGGGTTGCCGTGAAGGACCGAATGGAAGATATCGAGGAAGTACTGCAGCGAGAACTGATAGAAGTGGTTGAGGTAGTGCAGCTGCTCGAGCACGGCAAACACAGCACTGCACGACCGGGCAATGACATTGTACTGCAGCGTGATCTCCTCAACCTCGGCCATAACACCCTCGGTGTTGCTCATCTTGACGGAGATCTCGGCCGCCTCCGTCTTGAGCGTCTCCAGCGTCTCGATGACGTTGTCGTCGTCGAGAATGTTGCCACGCGACTCGTTGAGCGCCTGGAGGAGGCGCTTCTCGAGCTGTCGCAAGTGCACCTTGAACTCACCCTGCAGCTTGATAAGGTTTGAGCGCCGCTCGTCCACGTCCGGACGCTCCGACTTGAGAACCTCGGCCAGGGATTGCGTCTGCAAGCTGCTTTGCGTGACGGTGAAGTTGACAAAGGTCGTACGACTGCAGATATCGGGAGCAAAGGTAGCCGAGGGATCGCGCGTGGACAGATAGATCTTGAAGCTTGGCGAGAAGTCGATCTGCTGCTTGCCGAGCTGGATGAGGACACGACCGCCTGTCTTTTGGTACTCCTTGTTGAGCACGTGGTTGAGCACAGGGTCGAGGTGCTCCGCATCTTGGATAAGAATGGGGTTGCCGAAGCGGAGTGAACTCTCGAGCTGCTTGGTGAACGAGTCGTCAAGGAAGCTCGTGACGGTAAGCCGGCGATCCTTGCATTCTTTCTGCAGGAACTCGGTGACGCGCCCTGACGGGTCGATGATGAGCGGGTACCGGTTGAAGCGCTTGAGGACGATGGCGTTCTCGGTGCAGAGGTCATCAACCGGCAATGTGTTCTCTTGCCAGCCGAGCCTCTCATCGGCGGTGGAGAGGTACTCAGTCATTGGGTTGTGCTGTTTGAACTGGATACCCGAGAGATGCAACTGATGGAGCCAGTCCTCCACCATCGACTTCCTGAACGTCTGGTCATATAGACCGCTGTATGCGAGGAACGCCGCGGCAACCAGCACATCGCCCACCAGGGTGCTGATCTGCGTCTCAAACGACTTGCTGCCCTCCTCCCAGCGTGTCCTCTCCGACGATAAGCTATCTAGCAGTTTGACGCTGCGGTCAACCTTGAACTGGACGCGCGACATTTCCGACTTGATCGCCTGCGTCTCGCTGATAAGCGACGCGTACTCGGTCTTGTACGTGGCGATGCTGGATTCCAGGTTCTCGATCGTCTGCTCGACGGCCTTGGCCTCCGCCTTGGTCTGCAGGGCTTGCTCCTCGAGCAAGCCCACCTCCTCCCTCAAGGGCCCGACGCGGTCCAGGATCTCAGCATAACTGACCTGCGCCTCGACCCACTGCACGAGCGGACCGCACGCCCTGCTGGCACGGTTGACCCTCTCGAAGGTGAACTCCGGGTTCGAAAGAAATTCGTTGCGCATCTTGAGCCGCAGCGCCTTGGTCATCTGCTCTTCGTTGTTAAAGTTGACGATGCTGGCGATGAAATCATCGCGGCGGATAACGGCCTGGATCTGCTTCCAGTCGTTGGCCTTGTGGCCGATGAGCGTACAGACCGAGTCAAGCGCAAGGCGGACACCCTGCGGAGGTGAGCTCATGGACCGCACTTCTGTGAGATGTTGGCGCTTGATGTTGCTGACGGACGCCTTGGCTTCTTCGACAGCGGGCTCGGCGCGCGCCAGATCCTGCAGCACGATCTTCTTGCGGGACGCAACCTCGGCCTCCTGTTTCTCTAGCGCAACTTGGATTTCAAGCGACGTGTTTTTCCGCTGTTCGGCCTCGCGCTGATCGGCAACCATGCGCTGCAGCTTCTCGTTGGCCTCGGCATCCTTCTGCTCGAGCTGTGCCTTCTTCTCGGCGAGGCTGACGCGGAGATCGCGGACCTTGTCGACCGTGTCGCGGAGCTTCTCGAGACCAACGTTGAGATGGCGTTGCTGTTCCTCGAGATCCTCCCGTTTCTCGTTGTACAGCTTGACGTACTGAGCAACAAAGTCGAGGAAGTGCCGCGGGGTGAGGAAGGTGACCTTGCCCTGCTGCTTGAGGAGCTTGGCGTTGAAACGGTGCAGAGAGTAGTGAATGTAGACCATCGAGTTGATGACCGCCTCCCTGTGCGAGGGCGGCAGGTTGAGGCCGCGATACGCCACCGGTATGGTATCCGGGGCGCCCCAATTCGCCCTGTCCAGATCGACAGAGTGCGTAAGCTCGTGTCCGACTTGGAACAGCGCCTGATCGGACCAGTCGCCGAACCAGTTAAGAACGCAACGGTTGAACAGCGCAGGCGATGTGGCTGCTTTGGATGACAAGCCGTCCTCGGGCGGGTTCATCGTGAATACTACGTGCAGGTTCTTGACAATCTGCCCCGTGAACCACTTATACAACTCCTCTTGGGAGTCCAGCAGCAAGCCCTGCCGCTGGGCCCCTTCCTTGCAGGCAGTCATGAGCGCCGCGAGGTCGTCGCCCTCGAACAGACCGGGCACTTCGGCGTTGGCTAGCAGTGTGTTCATGCGCTCCAAGAACCCGGAGTCTAGAACGTTCGACTCGTCCATGATGAAACACATCTTCTCGCCCTTGCAGCCACAGCGGCGAAGGACCTCCCTCAGATCCTCATCGAAGTCCTCAGCCGAGTACTTGCCGTGAACCTTGATCTGGAACACCTTGAGACCATTCATCCAGGCGACAAAACGCGAGAGCGTAGTTTTGCCACTGCCGCTGACGCCAATCAGAATCAAATGACCCTGAGGTTGTCTGAAGACACGATCAATACGCAGCACATGTTCCAACACGTCGTTGAACAAGATCAGCGGCACATCGACCTCCTCCTCGCAAAAGGTCCTGAGACGTGCCTTGACAAAGTCGCGCAGCTGCTCGCGATCGACGGGCATGTAATGCTTCGACAGCCAGTTCGAGAACAGGATCGGGCCCCCGAGCGCTTTCTGCTCGTCGATATTTGGGAAGTGCTCCATTGCGATGCGGTGAACAGCCTCGTCGGTCCACTTGCGTTCCTCCTCTGCCACGAGACGGTCTTGGAAGAGACGGAGCGCCTCGTGCGCCCAGATGCGGATGAGCCCTTCCACAGAGAGCGCCTCAAGGGGCTTGATGGCCTCGTACACACCGCGCACCCAGCGGGTAAGCTCACGAGGACTGTAGACGTAGTGTGGTTGGATCTTTGGCGTGAAGCGCTGCTGCGACTCGAGGTAGAGGCGGACCATGGACTGGGTGAGGGGCTCGGCATAACCGCGGAGCGAGGGGATAATCTTGAGCACGGCCGAGTTGAAGGTGCCGTAGATTTGCATGAGTGACTGCTCACCGGGGTAGTCGACCATAACCAGCGGTGCATGGCGGAGGAAACGCGCGCCCATGGGCGTACGGCCGGCGTCGGTGGGCGGGTTGCAGGCGCCGACGAACTGGATCCTGTCAAGGGTAACCCAAGACTTGTCCGATGTCCGCCAGAAGCCGTTGTGCTCGACCAGTTGGCGGAGGAAGGAGATGGCACGTTGCGTGCCGTATTTGTCGGGGGCGGGTAAGTTAATTTCGTCGCAAAAGATGACCAGCCAACGGCCGATTTGTGTGGGCGAAAGCATGACTCCGTTCAGCGTCTTCTTGTACTCGCAGTACTGCTCAAACGTCTTGATGAGAAGGTCGGGAGTAGTGGCGCTGGAAAAGTTGAGGCCAACCACCTCCATGTTGGGCAACTTCCGAAGGGCGCTGAACAGCGTCATAGTTTTACCGGAACCAGGAGGACCGCACAGAAGAAGCGGCTTGTGCTCGGCGAGCCAAGAGTAGAGAACATCCTCGTGGCGGACCGTGTCTAGGGTCGGGATAACCACATCAGTCTGCGTAACCGAGTGGGTATTCACCTCAATAGTCGGCACCTGGCTTTGCCAAGGCGACCATTCCCCGCCTGGTAGGGAGACATCGAAGTCGATGAGGGAGCTTGTGCCGTCCAACGGCGGTGAGCCGAAGTTGGCGAGGCCAGCGACCTTATCACCGAACAACTTGCGATCCGTAAGGGGACAGTCGCCGGTCAACGCCCAAACCATTGCAAGGAGCAGCTTCTTTGCGATGTACCCCTCGATCTGCTCAGGGTCAAGCGGGAAGTCAGAGTGCTGCGAATTGTACTCGATGATATTGCGAACCGATTTGTTTAGGAGCGAGAAGAGAGTACCGAGGACACGAGCCGACGTGAACTCCATGATGTGGTTGAATGCCTCGGCTTGCTGCAAGGCCAAGAGGATGAAGTTGTCTGTTGTGAGGTACGCATGGAACAAATCGGCCGCCTGGCCTTGGATCTCCAGCGCCTTGGCCGAGCTCTGGCCCGTGGCAACAGCATCCTCGTCAAGATCCTCGAACGCAACGGAACGCAGGGTCTCGATGTAGTTGGTAACCATCATGTCGGGAGTGACGGTGTCCTCGCTAAACCAGACCATACCGCAGCGACTGACGGTGGCTAGGGTGGCGTATTTAAGATTCTCCACCTCGAACATGATGCGGACGTTCGCCGGGAGGTTCAGACGCTCGCCGTTGGGCAGAGTCAGCAGCTTGTTGTCGTCGAGCACACTGTTCAAGTTTTCGACCCACTCGGGGTCAACATCGCCGTCAAAGACAATCCAGTGGCGCTTGGTGTCCTCGCCACGGAGGTTGTCGACGATCTTGCGGAGGATGCTGGTGAATAGACCGTCGGTCCACTCTCTCGTCGTCGAGTCTAGGTTTCCGTAGAGCGCTTCCTTGGACATGACCTTGCTGTCAATGACATGCGACACGCCCTCGACATTCTCGACCTGCTGCAAGGCATCCAGAAGCAGCCTCCATGCCGCAGATTTGCCGGACCCAGAGTTGCCCACCATCATGACACCATGGTGGATCTTCTGGATCTGGTACAGCTGGAGGACCTTGGTCATCCAGAGCTCGTTGACAACTAAATGTCTCTCAGCCGCCAGGCGGCGGATTGCGTCCTCCAGCTTCACCAGATTGGCCGGTACATACTTGACGCCGGGGAAGCAGACCCCCTCAATGCCCGACATGACTTCGACATCGGACTTGATCAGCTTGGGCGCGATGGTCTCGCGAATACTCTGAACAATGATCTCGGGCTCCACCACCTCCTCAGCCCCCAGGGATCCGTCAGTTTCGGTCAGACGGGCACGTTTCAGGCCACCGGAGCTGACCAGTACACTCTTGAGTGCACGCAGGCCAAAGTCGTAATGCGCTTGCTTCGATAGCTTGGCGGCGCACTGGTCGAAGAAAGGCACCGTGTGCTTGGACAGCTGCTTGGCTTGGTTAAAGCCCTGCGAGTAGAGCATGACCTCAGCAATGAGCTCCTTGTCAGGCTTGGACATGGCGACGCTGCGGAACAACTTCTTCAAGTTATCGGGGAGGTTAGAACGGCCGGCATAGCCGGGGTTCATGGTGATGAAGATGCCCGTGTTGGCGTTGACGCGTAGCTGGCGGCCAACGAGCTCGATTTGTGCCTTCTCATCCTCGGCCCCCTGCTTCAGCCCAAGCTGAATGTTCTGAATTTGCTGAGAGACAGCGGACAAGATCCTCTCCTCAAGACGGTTGAACTCATCGAAGCAACCCCAGGCACCCACTTGGCAGATACCGAGGAAGATGCGACCCATAGCCTGGAAATCGAACGTGTCGTCGCAGCAGAAGACAAGGGTGAAGCGACCGAGCTGCACACCAAGGGCCTTGACTGATTCCGTTTTACCGGTACCTGCCGGGCCATATGGAGAACCACCGAGACGTTGGCAGAGGGCCTGGGTGAGGGTGAGGAAGCAGCGGTCTGTGAGGGGGGTCCGGACCAGCCTGTCGGGCACGCCCAGGTACTCGAAGCCGTAGGCGAGCTTAGCATTGGCCATCTTGATGTGCAAGCGCCGCGAGAAGTCGCCCTCCGGGGCATAGACGTAGCGCATCTGGAGCAGCCAAAGATAGTGCGTATTGGAGCTGGCATTGACCTTGATGAGCTTCTCGATGACGTCCCGCTGGTGCACGCACTCGGTAATGAGCTGCTCGCATGTTTTCCGCATCAACACATCAAGGTCCCCAAGAACTGTGTCCGCCAGCATGCGGAGGACCTGCACCTCGCGATCGAATAGTGCTTGCAGGGTTGCGCCTCCGTCGGCCAATGCTTGTTCCACCGAGGTGGTCCAGACAGCTTGGGTAGCCAGCACAACGATTTGGCTGGGATAGGTCTCCATGAACTTGTTGAGGGCGGCGCGATCAATCGCCTCGCTTGCAAAGATGGGGTGAAACTCCTCAATTGCCTCGGCAAGAAGCTCAGCGAGCGTCGCCTTCATGCCATTCTCCAGCAAAGCCAGCCAGTCGTTGATCCTGGGCGTCTTGACCAAGTTAATCTCCTTCTTGAGTCGGACGACCTCGCCCTCTTTGGAAGTAAACCCAGTGATAACCGCCTCCTCGTCCATCACCAGGCCGGTGAGACCAGCAAACATCTTCTTGAAGTGCTTGGCAATGCGCATGGTATCGTTGCTATTGCCGATCATCTCGAGTAGATCCTCGTCACCAACAAAGTAGAAGCGTGGGAACGACACGCGTTCTTTTTCAAGGTACTCGCCGAGCGCCTTCTGGATTTTGTTGAGCAGCTCAGCCAGGCGCTCGAGTGACTTTTGCACGTTGGGGATATTTAGGACGTCCAGAACATTGGGCTGCTTGTAGACCTTCTTCATCACGGCCGAGAACTCGCTGTTGATGTTTTGGAAACGCGATGACTCAATGGGGAGCAGATGCTTGATGTCGGCATTGCCCGTGAATACACCCTCAAGGTACACCCATTGGCGTTGGACGTCAATCCACACGTCGAAGAGGACATGAACGCGGTTAAGCTTGTCCTCCCAGCCGGACGCCTCTTCCTCAAACTCCTTGTAGTAAGGTGAGTGTTTCATGGCCTGCAGCGAGTTGAGGTTCTCACTGCACTTGGCAAAGAGGTCGTCCCAGCCGCGTATGAGACGGCACTTGTTCTGGTAGTTGACCAGCTCCAAACCATAACCAGTCCATGTCTCGCGCACCTGCTTCAGGAACTCCTCCAGTGCCATCTCGCCCTGGGCCTGGATGATAATGTCCTTGACGATGACCTCAGTGGCGACCAGGTTGAGATCCCAGACATCTCCGAGGGTCATGGAGACGGGCGAGTAGCGCTTCCCAGGCTTGATCTGCTTGTAGATCTTGGTCCAGTGGCGGTCGCGGACAGCTTCTGATTTGAGCTCAGTGAGCATGGGGTTGACCTTCATGAACTGCCGCAAAACGTTCTGGACATGCTCAAAGGCAGCATATTGGCGCATTCGGCTCGGCATTTCCTTGGTCATTTTGATGAGACTGTCAATAGACGATCTTATCTTCCTGGGTTGGACGCTATTCCAAAGAATCTCGCGGAGCTCGTTGAGGTTATTCCAGATCGTCGAGAGCGAGGCCCACACGGACTTGAAGTCTTGGACCTCTTCCAGAATGACGCCGAGAGAGGATTCAGGGGTAGCCTGCAAATCGAGGGCTTCCTTGGCCTTCGCAACCATAGCTGATTCCTCTTGAAGCTTGGTGATCTTGGTCTCAAAATCGCTGAGAGTGGCAGAGGCGACATCGGGGGCAATGGTACCCGAGACGGGCTTCTCTTCGTTCCAAAGCAGGGCAATCTCGTGAATTTTATCAAGAATGACCTTGTCCTCGGCGATGATCTTAGCACGGAGTGCGTCCGTCTGGTCCTGGACGATCTTGGCCTTGCGGCCGAGGGCTTCGTTAAGAGCATCCCACGCGCCGTCAACCTGTTCAACATGAAGCCAGTCGTTTTGGAACTGGTACCGCTGCCTGACAAGGGTAGATTCTCCCTGCCTGAATGTCTCAACCTCCGGTGCCCAAAGTTTCACCTGGCGCTTGCAAGTCTGGACAGTGGTGATGAACTGCACGGCCTGTGCGGTTGAGTTGGCTTCGATCGCCTGGCCTTCAATGTCCTTACGGGCCTTCTCAATCTCGGCATGAACTTCCCTCATGCGCGTGCCAAGACGGCCGGCAAACTTGATGAGGATGTCATGCTGCCACTGATCATACTTGGCGTTGACCTTGGTCTGAACCTGGTCATAGTCGATGGTGATGTGGCCGAACGAGCGGCTGACTTCGGTGGTGTCGAAGGTTTGACGGGTCTTCCGAAGTTCCTGGAGGAGCTGGAGCCACCTGGACAACTGATCGCCGAGGACATCGTAAACATGCTCTGATTGCAAGTCCCACAGCGACTGAAACTGGAGCCACTTGTCCACATATCCGCCGATTTCGCTGACCTTCTTTTCGACTGATGTCTGAACCCTGAGGAGGGCCTGGGTGCATTCGCTCGGCAGGTCGTTGAAGCGCGGCTCATCATACACGGTAGTGCTGATGGACATCTGATATCGCGTGGCCTTGATTTTCTTTAGGTTGCAAACCACTCCAATCCACTCCTGAAGTTGGGAGAACCAACTAGCTCTGGCGAACTCAAGGGGCGGGTCGAGATAGATGACTTGGTTCCGCATGGTGATTTCGTGCACCAGCCTCTTGATCACGGGCACATCCGTTTTGGCGCCGTCAAGAGGCTCGAGCGCCCTCCTGCGATCGCTCGACCTTTCGAGGTACTCATCCTCGAACGCTTCGATCCAAGCCTGAATAGAATGCTGCAGGCGAGCAAGCAAAATGGTCTTGATCTGCCGGTTCATGCGTCCTACCCAGTGGCCGAGGTTGACATATTGCTCCAAGTTCAGTTGATCAACGGCAGTTTGGATAGTTTCTAGGCGAGATTCGAAGGCGGACACCTCGTACGGGCATTTCTCAAGCTCGGTCAGTGCCTTTTGCACCGTGGCGTGGATATTGGATAAAGTGATAGTCTTGGATTGCAGCAGGGACACAGCGGCGCCAAATTCGCGAATGAACATGACATGTCTGCTTTCCCCGCCTTTGAAGCTGTCGAGGCCGACGTTTGGCGCGTAGTTCTTGAAATGTACCTCGTACGTATTCACAAATGACTCCCACTTCAAGGGGATACCCTTGGCGATCAGGGTGTAGACTTCATCACGGTGACCACTGAGAAGCACTGCAACCTCGGACATGTCGGCGATTTGCCGGTTGGTCTGCGCAAATGTCCTGACGCTCTCCATCAGGCTGACGGCGTACGGGTACACACGCTTGGCCTCCTTTGCCACGTTGTTGACCGAGTGCGGAACGGGGAAGTTGAGCCACACTAAATTCCGGGTCTCCTTGAACAGCGCAATCACCTGAGCGTCGAAGTTGACGGCGAGCTCTAGCACGTTTCCGGCCGCGCGGATCCGAGTAATGTTGAACAGGAGACCAGAAATGGAAATTTGTTTCCTCTGCACGTCGTGAAGCCACGCCTCGAAGATGGGGCGTGTGTCGAGCTTCTTGCGGAACAAGTCGCTCTCGCTCTGCAGCCTTTGCCCTTCAGCATGAAGGGTCCATTCAGCGCCCAGTACATCTTCGACCTTCTTCATGTACCCATCGAGCTGCCGCTCAATCTGGCGGGCCCAGATAATGGCACCAGAAACCGGGGGGAGATCGTGCAGCTGAGCCATGGCGTGGGCTTCAGAATGGCCATACTGCTGCTTGAACCGTTCGTGGAGCGCGGTGATGGCTTGCTTGACGTTGTCAATAAGCTGTGTCTGATACTCGGCAATAGCGCCACGAATCTTGGGGCGCACAAAAAGCGCATTGAATTTGGAGAAGACGCGGAACATTTCGTTGGCGTTCTTTGCCGTCGCGAGCCGGTCGCGAAGACGCGCAATGATAGAGTTCTCTACGCGAGACGTCCGCTCGTTGTAAATGTTCTCGGCACGAGCCCATTCCCGTGTGCCTTCGGGCGTAACATCAAGGAGGTCGACATCTTTCAAACCCTCCCAGGCTTGCCTCACCTCCTCCACGGCGTCAACATCGCCGATCTCCTCGACGACAGCAGTACCATTAGCGCCGGACCCTTCCGAAATACCATCCACGGTCGCCTTGGGGCCGAGAACATTGACGATGGTCCGCTGCAGCTGCTCATGGTTGTCGCGGAATTTGCTGACGTACTTCAACCGCGCCTGGAGCTCGGCGTGCCGAGGGACGATTTTAATGGGAATGAACCTCTCGTTACGGCGCCGAGTGACTTCACGCGCAACGTTGGTAAACTCCTTGATGTTCTCGTCCCAGATCCTAAAGATGTCGTCGGCCTGCCGCATAACCCGGCTGAAATCCTGGAAATCGAGTTTGACCAGCTCCTTGCCCGGCAGGAGACGGTGCAACACCTCATCCAGGTCGCCAGAGATGGTTTCTACCAAGGGAAGAGCGCGGCGGATGGGGTAGGGACATATCCTCAACTTCTTGTTTAGATGAGCAAAAATTTGCCCGATCGAGTCCTTGATCTTGACCAGAGCAGTGGCCGAGAGTAGTTCGTCCAAGGGGAAGTCGCGCATAAGCTGATTGTATTTTTGGACCTTCTCCATCGCCTCCTTCAGGCCAGTATCCGCGGTGAAACTGACGGTGGCCTGGAAACGCTTCGCGTGCTTCAGAATCTCGAGGGTAAGCATGACTCCCTCGCTCCTGAGCTGGTTCTCGATCCCCTCAAGTGCAGACTCCATAGACAGCCAGAAGTTGATCTCCTGCGCCGCTGTTCCCGTGGTGGGGTCCCTCGTCATCTTCGTAATGGCCTGGATAGACTTGATCCAGTTGTTCACAGTTGCTTGCAGATTGTTGAGGAACGTGCTGTCCTGGAGAACGGCAGACGGAATAAAATCCAGAGTCGGTTTTGTCTGCTTAGCAATCGCTTCATCCAGCGCCGTCTGCACAATGGGGTGAAACGGTAGAGACACTTCAGCATCTCCACGTTCTGTTGCAGATGGGAGAAGACTGAGCTCGAGATCGTTCCACTCTTTTGGTAGCTGGGATGCCAGTCTTTGCATCCACATCCGTCCGCCCCGACCACCGCTAAGCATCTGCTGGCTCTTGGTGCTGGCATCGAAGTATGGCGCCAGGCCATTGTGGAGGTAAAGCTGGAGAATCTCGTAGGGCGATGCGGCCGACCCTTGCTCGCCAGCGTTCGCGGTGAGATATGCCGGCCCCGGCAAGTTGAGCATTTGAATCTGCGAGGTTATCGGGATGCTAGGATCAAGGGGCTGGGGCCGTTTGAGTAGGACAAGGAAGGCCCACCGTCGTCGTGGAAGAGGAGAGGTCGGAGGATATCGTGTAGACATGCGAAGGTGTGCCTAAAGGTGTGTCAGTATCACCCCGCCCGAGATGAAAATATTCGCGCAGCAATCATACCATCATCAACATCTCCATCCTCCAGTGTATCTGTCGGAACCAAATCTTTCTGGATGTAGAGAGCGACCTGGGTATCCACGGCAAAGCGGTTGCACCGCTGGAGGGTGTCGTTGTACCGGGTTTCCGATAATAAACTGCCGGGCGCCTCAAGCTCCGTCCGGGTTGCGCCGAGGGCGGCTCCGAGGACGAGGATGAGGTGGTCAACGACGCGGACCGGGTCGACGGCTGCAAAGGGAGTAGTCGCAACGCCGTTTGCCCCCGGGCTCGTAGCCGGGGGGGAGACGGCCGCTTCCATGGTGGAAGTGGAAAGTAAGATCAAAAAGCGGGAGATCGGTTGTGATAAGTTGATATCACCAATCCAGTCGATATCATGTCTCTTTAGAGAGCGTTTTGTTGCGATATGGTCCGTTCGCAGAGCAAAATCGCGGCACCGCCAGTGATACCACTGGTGATTGCGACGGGAAAGAAAAAGTAGTTATTACGACGCAGTAAAAAGTACAGGCCGAAAAAAAAAGGGCAAATGGATGGTCTGATGGGTATCTTGGGTATCGCCGGGTTTTCCTCCGCAAGACAATGTTGAAATGGACGTAGAAGTCTAAAATGCACGAAGGCGGTCGGTTTGATTGCTCCCAGAAGGGGAAATCGAAGCTGCCAGTGGTGTTTCCTCTCTCCACGCTCCCACGACCGGGGCTGACGCGACTGCCGCATCCCTGTCGCGGAAAGCATGCATCAGGGGCCTCCCCACCCACCAGAAGTGGGAGCGCTTCTAATTGGCTTGTGCAGGCTTTCGCTGTCTCTTTCAAGCCCCCAAAGCCCCCCTGTTGCGTCCTGCAGAAGCCTACAGGAAACAGCATCATCTGAACCATTCTCCCATTTTCGCATGGCAACACAAACAACGCAGGGGAAGTGAACCAAGATGATTATAACTTATGGTACCGCGGACTGCCAAAAGATGTCAATGTGATTGAGATATCGCACCAGGCTTACGGAATGATCTTATACTTAGTCAAGCAAGATCCAAAGATCTGCGTCTCGCTGTAGATAAGTTACCAATCCAATTTCTGGGTCACATCCAGAATGCTTGGAGGTACAAGGTAGGTAGAGAGTGGTACACAGGCATGCATGGATGTACACAGTTGTACTAAATGTTGGTCGGGTGTGTGGTCTACGACTGCAACTCAATCAAGGGGTGAGCATAACCTGCACTGACAAAGCTGTTCCACAGATTCGGAATTGACCACTTTTCTCATAGCTACCTCGGTATAAAAATGAAAGTGACATTACGCTCAGGGCTAGCAACCATCCGACCAACGCTCATGCAAACCGGTCATATTCCTCGTCTCGAGCACTCCACTCTCCATGCCACGGACTCCTGAAACAACCAAACGCCGATGCTTCTTTTTAAAAACCAACCCCGTCCCGTGTTCATAACCATACCATTCCCGCCGACGGACAAGGATGAGCCCCCGGTTGCCATGCATCGCCAGTCTCGCCACAATCAGGGGGCGGGCGGGGCCCCACCGCGGCTCTCTTCCTTGTTAGAAAGGCTGACCATGACACGCTGGTTGCAAATATCGATGAACTGCTCGAACTTCTCGATGATCTTGTCCTTCTCTCGAAGCTTCTCTTTGAGCTCCTCGATCTCCTTGTCGCTTTCCTTCTTCAACTTGTCGAAATCATCTCGTGCGGTTGCGAGTTCTCGACGGAGATCGGCTCTGATACGCTCCTCGGCCGACGGGTGCGGCTTGCTATAAATAGCCGGCCGGTTTTCTGCCAGTCCTGTGGCGACCTTCTGGGGGTTGCGGTTGATAGCAGCCCGTGCATTGTAGATGTCACGGGGGAGAAGGGGCACATGAGGATTCTCGGTCTGCAAGATCTCCAGCGTCTGGCTCACACCCACACCTAACAGCCAAAAGTCAGTTCGAGTATCCATGGGATGGAAGACCTTGCTTACACGTACCATCGTCCTTCAACTTTTTGACGGCTGCAACCATTTTGCTGTCCAATTTCCTCGCCGCCGGATGCAGGAGAGGGCTCTCGCTAGGGCCATGGTTGTGCTTTTTATGGCTCTCATGGGGACGGTACCGGACTGTCCACTGGGTCCTCTGCTCGATGGCGAAGAAGCCAAACGGGCAGTCACATTTACGGGACGTGGTCTTGCGCTTGCGCATTTCCGGGCTAACGCGGCTGGGTGGTTTACCAGCCCGGTCGCAGACGAACAGCACCTTTTTCAACCCAGGAACCGTCTTTTTAGACCGGCCGATAACCACAGCATAACCCACAGAAGTGCAGTAGCTTAGCACAAACTTGTGAACGGCCTCCAAAGTCGGGAAGCTCCCGCCTTCTGGGGGAGGGGTCATCGCTTCACCCATGGGCTGGCGGGGGACGAAGGGCGAGTTATCAATCAACTTAGGCTCCAGGGAGGGGTCCCTTTCGCCCGACTCATCGTGGCTGACAATCTCTATGTCGTCATCCTGGTGGTTTTCCTGTGCGGCTTCAACCGGCTGTTCCTGGGCGGGTGGTGCTCGTGAGACTGGTGTGACTTGCTGCACCTGCGGTAGCTTCTGCACCTGTTGGATTTTTGGCATCTGCGGTGGAGCAGGGGGGAGCGTTGGTTGCGAAGGGGGACGAGACGTTGATAGTATACTGGTGACGTCGTTGTGTTGAACCGTGTGGTTCGAATGTGTCGAATGGGCCGGATGGGCCGAATGCACCGACTGGACTGACTGGCTTATAGACTGTTGCGGCATAGACTGCTGTGGCATCGATTGCTGTGGCATCGAGGGCTGTGCCATGGACTGCTGGGGCATGGACTGTGGGGGCATGGACTGCGGGGGCATGGACTGCTGGCCCAGTGACTGCTGGCTCATGGACTGTGTCATGGACGGGGCCATGGGCGGCTGGCTCATAGGCTGCTGAAGCTGCTGGCTCAGCGACGGCTGCCCTAATGATTGCTGCCCTAATGATGCCTGGCTAAGCTGCTGAGGGTTCATGGGTTGCGGGTTCAGGGTCTGCGGCGTCATCGACTGAGGCGTCATGGGCTGCGGAGTCATGGACTGGGGCGCCATGGACTGCTGTCCCATCGGCTGAGGGTTTAGAGACTGCTGGAGGTAGCTAATGGGAGGTGCTTGCTGCTGCATCTGCCGGGGAGGGGGGGCACGCTGGCGCGGGCCCGGGAGCGATGGAGGAGCTTGGGACGGCGGCGGTCGGGCGCCATTTTGGAGGCTGGCGACGTTAGGGATCTGCGTCGAAGGCGAAGTGAACAGATGATGAGGATATTGGCTCGGCGGGTGTTGCTGGTGTTGTTGGTGTTGATGTTGGTAGGCGTGTGGTGGGTATGGCGGCGCGTGGTGAGAAAGCGACGGGGATGGTTTGTTGGTCGGGTTGTGTGGCGGCGGGAACGATCGTCTCAAGCCAAACGACAAGCCAGGATGGCTATTTGTGCTCGACATGGCGACAAAGGGAAGGAAAGTCGAAATCGAACAAACGCGGAGGTCAATCAGCAGCCTTTTGGTCTGGGGTCTCGACCCGTCACCGAAATCGTGGGCGGGCGTGTACCGAGCAGGGAGGCGTGCGTGACTGCCCGAAGATGGAGAAAGAAGGAGGTACGGGGGAGGGTGTAAAAACGGGTTGGGCGGGAAGAGGCAGGAAGCAAGGTGCGAGGGGCGGGCCGTCTGATCCCACTGTGCATTTTGTATTTCAGACTGTCAGGGTCTATTTTCGTTGCAACTATCCAATCAAATTCACAAGAACCCTGCGGCTGGCTCCACAGACTGTCCATCACACCCACCAACCGCCGTTGAGCTTGTCCGATCCCAAGCACAGCTGCGCCTTCCACGCCCCAGCAAACCTGAGCAACCAACGTTTCGAGAGAATTGGGGCTCATGCGGTTGGAAAGAAAAGGAATAGGGATAATATGAGAAAAGAAAAAACTGTTCCATCACCTCAAAATGACAAGCGTCTGCCGCGAAACCATCATTTTTCATTGTCGTCAAAGGTGGCAACGCGGGCTCACAGGTGGGCTGCGACTTCTGCGAAACACGCCTTGGGGTGGGCAAGCGTCCGGGGGTACAGATCAGGACAGTCCAACTATCGACACCCCGCCTCCCGTGTTCAGGGATCCGGGTAGTCAGTAGCATGGGGCAAACATCCTGACAAGAAGTACCTTTGAGATCTTCGATATTTTCAACGAATGGTGCTACCTTGAATTTCCCAAAATCGGAGTCAAAATTAACCTCAATTAAGCTGGTTATCCCTTTCAACATCCCCGACGTATACCTAACTCATCGATAAACAAGCACCTTGAATCTATTGTGTGCGCCACCTTGTCATGGAACGCGAGTGACCGAAGAATGATACATACAGACAGGGGTATAATGATGACAAAAAATCCCAACCGGATCTCCAGCGCCGATAATGAGAGACCAAGCGACCAAGACCGTTAACGCACTACCCATGACATGGCATCGACCACCCCCTTCCTAAAACGACATATCGTCTCCCGTCACATCCGCGCCCCCTTCGCTTTTCCCAAACCAAGTCCCAAAATCTAACTTCATCAACAACCTATCAATGCCCCCAACCCGTCTCGGCACATACTCCCCACTCTCTCTCATGAGCATCTCACCCTCCTCCTCGCCCTCGACACCCTCCCCTAGCCCTCCCGCGCTGTGCAACACGGCACTCCCTTCCAACCGCCTCATCTCCCCAATCAGCCCCTCAACACCCCTCTTAACCCTATCCTCTACGCCGCGTATCTCCCCCTGCACATCCCGCTCCTCACGCTCGAGGTCCACGAACGCGTCAACGACGCCCGCGTCAGCTTCGAGGTCGGCCGCCGCCCAGACAGAGTGCAGCCGGTGGACGAGGGCCACGAGGTGGTCTATCTGGACGAGGAGCTCGTAGAGCGGGTCGGTGAAGGATTGCTGGGTGAGCAAGAGGCGGTGGATCAGGGCGCGGAGGTAGACGCGGTGGGCCGTGGCGAGGGTCTGTGGGTCGTGTACAGAGCGTGTTTGGTCGGTTACTGAAGTGGGCGGGGGCGGGGAGGAGGGTGGTGGGCTCGGCGAGCCAGACGTCGTCGTCTGCCATGTCGGTGTCCTCATCTTGAAGGGGGCGGCCCGCGGCTTGGGTTTGCTTGGCTGTGTTGTCGTCGCGTCGTTGCTCATCTTCACCCGTGGTTAACCAGCGGTGGAAACCGTCTGACAGCCCCGCGACGACTTCCATTTGGAGATATCCTTCGATCTCGCCGAGGAAAAAGATGGCTGCACTCGCCGTGGCCCAAGCATTGCGCAGGACGCTCGACCGAAGTGCATGACGTTGACGGAATAGAAGTACCCTCTCCCTGCCCCCGCGCGTGCTTCCGTATGGTGGCCCCGGGGGTGCTGGGTGGTGTCGCCGGAGGGATGTAATCTTCCATAGGTCTGTTAGGCGGATATGAGCTCTCCGCAGAGAGAGAAGGTAAGAGTTGATTGCAGTGTAGGTCTGTAGATCCGACTGGCTGAGGAAAAGATCCAATGGGGACGGGATCTGCAAAGTCAGAACGACGGGTACCGAAAAGAGCAGGTTGCGGAATGGTGTCGGCGCAATGACTGGCATCTCCGCCTCGGGAAGGACGGGCGTCATAGGCGTGGCTGTTCTGGACTTGGCCATGGATAGCCGCAATAGGTCTCGAGCCAGCTCCAGCCCCTCATCTTCCTCCGCATGGTCGCCCTGCATGGATCCCATCGCAGCCCATGTCCTCGCCAGGACGGCGGCCACCTCTCCCTCCTTCACAGTGACAGTGCTTAATCCATCGCGCTTCTGATACGCAAGGTTCTCCGCCCGCTTCCATCGGCTCCTGATCTTCTCATCCGCCTGCTGTGTGAGCGCCATAGCAAACTCTCCACGGCGAAGCAGAAAGAAATCACGCAACAGCTGCAGCGTCTCCAGCACTCTACTCAAGGGCAACAACCGCTGCAGCGTGGTTCTCGACAGAAAATGCCTTATGTCCGCAATCGTTCTCGCAAAGGTGGCCGAATCAATCGGGTGCCTCAGCGCGGCCAGCCGCGTAAGCTGCGTGGAGAGGTGATCGTTCCCCCGCAAGGTGTAATCACCCACGCTCTTCGCACGGATCTGGTTAAGCGACCGCCCGATGAACAGCATGGACGCGGCGGTCGCGGCCGTCACAAACCGCGGCAGCAGCGCCATCTCGCAGCCATACTCCTCTCGACCCTCCTCGCCCACCACTCTCCGCACAAAAAAGTCGCCCTCCCCAAACCCCGGCAGGCGCCCGTACAGCACCCACGCCGACACCTGCTTCACCCACGCAGCCTCCGCCACACCAACCAAACTCCCCGCCGCCTCTTCCACATCACGATACCCCGTCTGCAACTCTCCCCTCAAAAAGTCCATCACCCTCGCCCCAGTACACCCAGCCTCCCCCCCACCACTACCACCACCACCACTACCACTACCACTACCACTACCACTACCACTACCACTACCACCACCACCAACCATAACCGCCACCACCCCCGCCAACCACTCCAACCGCCTCGCCCACCCCGCAAACTCCGCCACGACCGCCGTCAGCGGCACGATGTCATACGCGCCGACCAGCGCGGCATCCCGGCGCAGCAGCGTCTCCTCGACGGCGCGCACCTTGCGGCGGAAGGCGGCCAGGTGCAGCGCGTCGACGGCGGACGCGACCGCCCGGCAGATGACGGACGGGTGGGCGGCGGCGATGTGCGCGGTCGAGGTCAGCAGCTGGATGTGCAGCTCGCTGAGGTGCGCCAGGGAGGCGAGCAGCGCGCGTTCCGGCGGGGTGAGGGGCGATGTTGGGGTGTTGTTGTTGTTGGGGTTGTCGCTGTTGGGTGGGGTTGAGGAGGAGGCGGAGGCGGATCGGAGGAGGGGAGAGGGGTGGCCGGAGAGGGAGAGCAGGATTTCGTGGAGCATGGTGGCTATCGTTACTGGAGGTGGCGGATCTTGGGAGGGTGTTTCTTGGCCGCTTGTTTGACGCGGGCGGCCCGTTTCTGGGCGCGGCGGTCGTTGAGTGCTTGGAAGAAGAGGATGAGGGTTCCGAGGAGCTCGAGTCGGCAACACATCGGGAGGCTGTCAGGTAGGTGGGTTAGAATTCGAGGCCAATGCTAGGCCGATGTAACGCGGGCTTACCAAATAGAGTGCCTTTTACGGTTCGGCGATTCGCAAAACGCCTGGGTCCATTGCGAGTTGTGGTTCTGCTCCCCTTGTGGTTGGACTGAGATGGAGCTCATTAAAGTGGGGTGAGCCACTTTCGCAAGTTGACGCGCCAGATCGCATTTGTGCAACCGTGACGCGTTTTCATCTGCAGAGTCTCCAAGTCACGTGGGAAGTTGGGGTGCGATGAAAATGCAGGGTCCAAAAATGCAGGGTTCCAGCACAACGATACAAATCGTCGGGTCTGCTGAGAACAATGAAAAAAAGTTACCTATTATTTAACATTGAATCCTCAGAAGCCCAATCAGAAAAGAAAAGAAGAAAAAACCTCCTTCTACCGCAAATTTACATACCCTAAACCAAAATACCTCTCACATGAACTTCCCGTTTAGCGGACCCGCAGGCTGTTTCCCTTCAGTCACAGTCATCCCACTCAGCGACTGGGCATCCTGTTTATCCTGATCCAGTGTGGCCACTCCGCCATCACCTCCCCCAACAATAATGTTATCTCCGGTTGAGGTCTTGCCCACGACCATACCCTTTGCAACGCTCTTGAGAATGGCCCGCCTCGAAACGCCCGTCACATCAATATAAACAAGACCCACATTCTTGACACCACCACCCAAACTTCTCGTGACGTCGCCGGCTTCGGGTCCCCACTTGTGACCGACCACAGTGGTCGCCGCCTCCGATGTCGAGGCCAGCAGGTTCCGCCCGGCCTGCTCCACGCCGTCCATGACGGTGGAAAAGGCCATCATGCTCTTATTGAGCAGGCCCGGCTTGTACGTGCCGAGTGGCTTGCCATCTTTGTCGAAGCCCTTACGCGCGGAACCATTCTTGTCCTTGCCATGCCCGCCGAGGGACGCGCCCCAGTTCTGGGCGACCTTAGTGATCTGGCCGACCGTCTTGGCCGACAGCGTCGCCGCGCCGCCCGTGAAGGTGTTGATGCGCCGGATGTGCTCGCGCGTGGCGGGCTTGAAGGTCATGGGCTTCGCGTTTGGCTGGGCTTTCTTGGTGAAGCTGTCGGCTTGGTTCTGAAGCAACTTGGAAAGCATGTCAGAGCCGGTGATGATGAGGCGCGAGGCAGCCGAGGCGTTGGACACGAGGAACGAGCTCTTGTAGGCCGGGTGTAAGTCTGCCCCGTACAAATCGGCGGATATGGGCGCCACATTAATGTTCTGGCCGCCTGCCGCGGGGAGGGTGATCTCGACCGGGTCTACGTAAAGTGTTAGCACTACGTTGGGAGGCCACGAACGCGACAAGACAGAAACAAACCTTTCGACCCCGGTTTCAGCCCGCTTGCCTCGACGACCTGGAAACCATCGGCCAACTCTCCAATCACGCTGCCATCTTCCTCATCAACAAGCACAATCTGCCCCGGCGCAGCCACACTGTGGCTCCCCCGCACATACCCCTCACCGGGTTTGAAGTCAGCGGGGTTATACGCGGGCAACGCATCGCCCGCCGCCTCTGCTGACTTTGTAGCCCCGCTCTTCTCGCCCTTGCCCTCCCACCACTGCTCGCCCTTGCCACCGATTTTGGGCGGCGGCGCCCGTTCAAGGAAAGCGGTGCATTGCGCCAAGATTGTCTCGAACGTGTCTACATCCTCCTGAATCCCCTTCCGACTCTCCACCGAGGGGAACTCGATCCTGGTGAACGCGCCGCTGCCCGGTCCGAGGTCCCATCTCGGGATCAGATAGCTAGTTGGGGGTTGGTGGTAGATCTGCGTCGTGGCCGGGAGGGGCAGGTCGAGCTCGGGCGGCAGATGGAGGTGGAGGTAGAAATCCTGCTCGGGCGCGGTGTCGGAATCAATCGCGGGGTCGGCGAAAGCGGATGTGGTCGGGACCATCAACAGGGACAATGTCTGCGGGCCGGCCGGCGTGAGGAGCTCCTCCTTGCCATTGGCGATGTGGTAGGCTGATACGCCGTTTATGGCGTAGAGCAACTTCGGGTCCTGTTGGGGTGTAAAGTGTTAGTCCACAGCTGCGTTTTACCTCACGGGGGCACCCTACGTTGTGACCGGAAGCCATTTTCGCAATTATCGACGCTCTCGAATTTTAAGAGCGCAGACCGCGGTTTCTGGTAAACTTCCGCGCGAGCTACGTAATGCGCCGCGATGTGTGGTGGGGTGAAACGGGGATAGATGCTCGATACCCGCCCGCTATATTGGAGGTTGCGCCTGTTGTTATGGACAAAGTCTGCAAGAATGGCCAATGTGCTAAGTTCAGGGACACACACACACTTCCAACAAACCCGTTTCGCAATCGAATGATTTCCTGAGGGCGGGGTCGGTTGGTTCCTGCTCCAGGAGTCCAAAATAGCAACTGCCCAGCATCCCGCGACCCCAGGCGCTTAAAGACGTCTCCTGTGTGGAGCATGCAAGAGGCCTCTCGAGTCTCCGGGCGTTTCAAAGCGACGTCATTGGCGTGCCAAAAGCAGGCTGTCGCCCGCCACCGTTCAAGCGGAGAGACGCGCTCGCGCGGCCGACAAGAGGGAGCACGAAGAGCAAGCTTTTTATGAAAGCACCTTCCATAGTTGTCAATGTTGAGATTTCCCCTGAACAGGACAGTCGTCATCAGTCAGCCCCACGTGGGGTATGAGTGACATTTATTCCGCTTTGCGCAGTCTGTTCAGCCTCGACCCGCGCTCGCCGCGAATATGACTGATACCAGCCGTCTGCTCTCACGTGGCCCTTGCAGCAATCCTTTCTTTCCCAAAACAATGTTGCAGCGTGCCCGCACAAGGGCCGCGAATACTTTTCTCGATAGTACCTCAAGTGCTCAGGGCTACCCAAAGTCATCACGCAATATGCTCTGTGTGCCGTGCCGCGCCGCGGGCAGATGCCGCTTAAGTACTTTGTACACCGTGCATGTCTCCAACCACCCTTGTTGGTGCGAGACCTTCGATGACGGTCCTGCTCTCTAGCAAAATAACTCGAGAAAGTTGGATCTCTGCTCGGCCTGCAAGTCTCTTTCGCATCTGTCCTTCCACTACTGGCGAGACATTTCGGCGCATTGCCTCGATGTTCATCCACAGTACCTTGCTTTGTTAAATTAGTGTGGACTGGGGCGCCGCCCCGCGCTCTTGAGCGCGCACACATATGCCGAGTACACACAGCCAGGCGCTGGGCACAGACGGGCTGGTGTCTAAGAAAGTCCATGTCGGGTCACACTTCGGCTGTACAACCGGCGATTTTCATATTTTGGGTGGGTGGGTTTACCGGCAGCTCTTGGCTGGGCTTGAAGCTGGCAACAGACGCAGCGTCCCGAGATCTTTGGCTCCCGAGACGAATAACTACCCCACAAGCCACCGCCAACCTTTCCCTTATCAGATCCGGAGCTCGCACGCCGCAATGATGTACGGATGTGGGCCTTGAGTCGATTCTCGGCCTGGCCGTATGGCATCCCGGCATTTGGAGTCGGCCTGTGGGAGCCAGGCAGCGTTGTTCGATACGGGCAACGATATCGGGAAGCGGTGCATTTGTCGGTTGGGTCGAATCAGAACTGGGGCTGGCACCGAGGGGCTGCAGGCGATCCCGATTCGGTCCCCATGTGCGGCCGGGCCACTTCCACACTTGCCGGTCACAAGAAACCTGGGGTTCCACAATTATGAGGGACCCCCCAACCTGCTCCGGCAATCTGATCCCAGCATCCCGCGGCGGCCAACAGGGAGTCTTCCCGGGGAGAGTGAGAACGGCGCCCGATGGAAGGTCTCAGACCGAATCGGCGCCAGGCCAGTTAACCTGGAAGGGGCCGGCCCCGATCCTGCAATGGCTTTTTCTTCTTTCTTTTTCCACCCGCGCCCCCGCCCGCCGAAGCCAACGGCGGACGAATATTCGTCACCACTTGTCAAACCGAACAAGTCGGTGATGATGGGTTGTGCGGATGCCTTCTTTCGACCCCGTTGACGCTGTCCCGCCTCGCCTTGCCAGCGGGCCGTCGCACAACCCGCACGCTCGGCCATCCCTTGGAGTGGCACCGCAGCGAAGGCGTAGCTCCGTTGTACCAATCCCCCGTCGCACATGCCGTCGGGTCCGGCAAAGAGAGCCAGACATGCTGTCGTGTACTCGGCCTGACGAGCAGGCGCACTGCCGATCTTCCAGTACTTGCATCAATAACGTGCAACTGTGCCTGAGCAATGCGGATGTTGAGCCTGCAGTAAATGCAAAACATGCATCGCGAAAGCCCGATGATGCCCTAAGGACATCGAGGGGCTCCCATCGCGCCGTGCCCCTGCTTTCTGTCGGTGCAGGACATGTGTTGACGAGGTTTCAACCCTTTCTCTCATAAGTGGGAGCGGGGTGGTTCTTTGTGCTTTTGGGAGTTTGGGAAGCGAGCTTCCGATGCCAAGCGGGTGCCGTATGGGCAGGCATCCCGGGGGCCCGGTGCAAGGCACGCCCGCCGTTGCAGCTCCCGGCGCTTACCAGCGTCGATTTCTTTGGCTGTTTTCCGTGAAAATGTAAACTATGAATCAAGACTTTAATTTGCAAGCCCATTGTATACTGAGATGTTTCCCAGATGAGATCGCCTGAAAAAATGATGGATTTTTGATAGGAATATTCCAACTGGACGTGGGAAGGTGGAAGGGATGGTGCTTTCCAAGCCGTCTCCGAAAATGGGACCCTGCCGGAGCTTGGCCTTGCTCCTCTGCGCTAGCGAGCAACCGAACCACCCACGCAGCGCGAGCGCGGGCTGGCAATGAGAATTCGGCGTCTGTTGAGGGCAAGGCAAGAAGCCACCGGCTTAGGTAGGCCAGGGACTTTCCGGGTCTCTCAAAAAATAAAGGCCGCAAAGACGCCACTTCCATCTGTTCCCCTCATCCATCCCACCTTGACCCAGTCTCCATCCAGTTTCCAGGCTAGGTGTTATCGACTGGAACCTGGGAGCCATCGCGACCTGCCACAACCTTAACAATCCTCGTGGGACCTCTCTTCGTGGGACTCTCCACTCTCCTCGCGCTGAGAATCCGCACCCGCCCCCTGGACCCTAGCACAACCTACCTGCCCCTGCCGACGTTGCCGACAACACCGACGCTACCGACGCATACCATACCTTGCTTGCCCTTGTGTGTGTGTGTGCACAATCACGTCCCGTGTTCCCGCCCACCGACTTAGGCCCCGTTCGGCTCGCCTACACACACGGCTGACCGACATTCTCACCCCCGACTTTCTGGTGAACTTCTCTCGACTTGACCGTCTGTCACTCAACGCCCACCGCACCCGCACGATCCCGCGTCCCCGCTGCCGTCGCGCAACCTGAGAAGCATCGCCAACAACGTTTCGGCGTCACATTGGCTTACCCGGATAGACCCATCTTCGCAATCGCCGGCCACTCACTCGCCCGGCTGCCCGCACATTCGGATACCTGCACCGTTGGTGGACGCCGTCATACCCACAAGGTAGTGCAGCCGCCCATCTAGCTAGCTCATCGTTTGGGTCCCCGTCCCGGCAACCTTCTTCCCCTCTGTCAACTGAGTTCTCGCCCCTTCCGTCCGCGCCCCCGTACGGTCTGCTGTGCTGCCCTGGACCTTGCTCCCCCAACTACTGCCGCGACCAAGCTCGCCAGCGGCGCTTTCTTGAGCCCGCAGTGTATTTAGTCCGTTCCCTCGCGGACCGCCCGACCACCCCGACCGAACGTCGAGTCTCGGCCCCTCTTTCCCGTGCCCACATCGCGACCGCCGAACGGTCTTGCAGCCGCCTGTTGCACTGTACCGTGTGGCCAGGGAAGGCCTTGTCTCCCTTGTGTTTGGTCAGGGGGTCCCGTTGCGAGACCCAACCCGCCGTCACGATTGCTTCCCATCTGCGCATCCAGTCCATCATCTCCCCTCCCGAGCCGCCCGACGACCAGTCGGCCGCGGCAACGCCGTCATTCGAACAACAGCAGCACCCCACTCCAAAGAGGAAGTTCCACGACGCCTTCACCGCACCGGCGCCCGATGCGCCCATCGAACCGGCCGAGCCGCCTGCGCCGCCGCACCCCCATCCGCTGCCCCAACGCTTGCCCAACATACGCCAGCCGCTACCGCACAGTCCGCCACGGCCCGCTACGGTCGGAGCGGCCCGCACCCAGGGCCACCCCGCCGCCGCAGCCGTGAGCGCCGACGATGACAACAGGTCGCCCGTCCAGGCTTCCATGATGGCAGGTAGCCCTGGCAGCCCCGGCGCTATCGACAGCAAAAAGGGGATCAAGCGAACTCCCTTGAGATCCAGCATTGCCTGTCAACGCTGCCGGAAATCCAAAATAAAATGCAACAATACGGGAGGCGACCAGCCCTGCGAGACGTGTATCCGAAATGGCAAGGAGTGTACCTACCCCGAGGTCACGCCCGCCCCGCCGAAGCGATCCGAGCCGCCTTCCGGCGCCAAGATGGAGCAGGGCTCAGAGCGGAAACGTCTGCGGCGGATTGAAGATATTGTCAAAATGGAAGGTTCCGTTCCGGCCGCCGTCGTTGCCGAAGATGTCCTGTCGGCACCCTTCCTCACCGGGACAATATGGAACCAGCTGTTTGACATCTACAGATTGCACTTCGCGACTGAGCTGCCCTTTCTCCATCTGGCCACGTTGAAGGAAAAGCAGGGCAACAGGTCCAAGGCGAAGCCTACCGACACCTCGCCCGAGATCAACCTCGTGCTGTTGGGCATTCTCACACTCACAGCGCGGTTCCACGGCACCTTGGTTTCGTATATCACAGCGCCCAGGAACAGCCCGGCAGCGTCCGGCATGCCGAAACCCCGACCCGCCGGCGGCCCGGCCTCGGATGCCGCAGCGGCCTCGGAGTATTACGCCGACGTCCTCACCAAGGCCCTCGGCGGCCTGAGGACCAGCATGACCGTGGCTTCGGTGGAGCGAGTCCAGGCTTTCTTGATGCTCGGTCTTTATGAATGGAGCCAAGCCCGACCGAGGGTCGGGGGGATGGCCGCCTGGATGTACGTCGGCGTCGCTATCCGGATGTCCCAAGCGCTAGGGCTAGGGGACGGGGATAAAGAACCCAACAAGGTTTTTCGGCCCCGGCCGATCAAGCCCGCCCAACAGACCATGACGATCACCGCCAGGGAGATCAGAAGGCGTACTATGTTCAGCTGTCTAATCTTAGACCGATTGTTGGGCTGCGGCAAGGATCGGGTTTCGACGATTCGCTCCGAAGATCTACGAATCCAGCTACCGTGTGCCGAAGTCTCCTTTGACCTCGGCCACGACGTCTACACGGGCTTTTTGAAACCCGCCTCGGGAGTCGAAACGACGCGCCCCATCTCCGACAGCGTGCTCGGCCGCTTTGTTCGCCTCGTGGACCTCTGGGGCGAAATCTCCAAGTGGAGTTTCTCAGGCGGCCGATTTACGGAAGAAGAGCGCCCTCCATGGTCGCGCGAGTCGAACTTCTTCGGACTGCGTAAGAAACTCGAGGATTTCTACGAGGGACTTCCGGACGAATTCAGGTGGTCGGACAGTAACTATTACAAGCACGAAAACCACCAAGCCAGCAGCGTGTACGTTTCGCTACACATGCTTGGCGCCGTGTGTAGGATTATGCTCCACCGCGAGTACATACCCTTCATCCCCATCCTCTGCGAAAAACCGGTTGGTCCTCTTGACGAGCCCACATTCGCGCCCGGGCAAGAGCCGCAGGGGTTCTGGGAGGCCAGTGCCGAGGAGATCTTCAGCGCGGCCAAGGACATTGTCGACCTCGCCGAGATCTGCCGCGATAAGTTGCCCATGTCATCTCTCGTCCTGTTCGCGGTCTGGACCGCTGCCTTTGTCGGCATCTACGCAGTCCACTTCCCGCACATTGACACCAAGGGGCATATGCTCCCCAAGGAAGACGTCAGCACACCTGTCGACGTAACCAGGCACGGCCCGACGGGGCTCACATACAAGTTGTTGACGCACATGTCGCTGTGGCTCAAGCTGGCCGAGACATATGTCAGTTACTTTGGCGAGATGGATCGGTACTACGACACGGTCAAACAAGACTACGAAAGGCATATCGGCGGTCGCATAGGTGGCGGCGGTTTGGAGGAGTGGAAGGAACGGGCTTTCAAGGTGGTCAACAACGGCGAGATACTTGTGGTCGACGAAGGCAAGAGTTCCTCACGCGACAGCACCGTGGAACCCGGCTCCTCGGTCGGCCCAGACAGCAACCACCCGACCGACCACGCCAAGACGCCCCGGTCCACGTCCATGTCATTCACGCCCATCAACACGTCGCAATCGCACGCTAGCCAGCCAGACGAAGCCGCTGCCGAAGCGGCCGCCTCCACACTCTGGCGCATCCAGCAACCCCACGGGCACCACAGCCAACACCAGCATCAACAACACCAGCACCAGAATTCGCATCAGCACCAACAGCCCTCACCCTCGCAATCCTCGTGCGCCGTGCCCTCGCCGCAGCTGTCGCAGCACCCGCATCCGCACTCGCACCCGGGGGGCATGACAGCGATGCCGAAACTGCCACCGTACGCGCCCAGTGAGGTGGCCGAGTACGTGGAGCAGAACCAGTCCATGCCGTGGAATCTAGCGCCGGGCGGCGTGGACCAGTTCGCCCACGGCACCGAGGACATGGTGCTAGATGGCGGGCCCATCTACTGGCCAGGTGTGCCGGAGGGGTGGGCGGTGGGCATGATGTCGCAGCATGTGGCGAGTTATTCTTCTTATTAGTGGTGGCATGGTGGGGTTGTTTAGGCGGTTGTTTTGGTGGGTGTGTGTGTGGTGTGCGGGTGTGTGATGTGTGATGCGGTGTGGCTTGTGGGCGTGGCGCGTGGGTGTCAGGAGTATCTTGGGTGTTGGGTTGGTCGGTTGGTGTCGGTGTCGGCGGCATGTCTGAATGAAAAGAACGGCTTGTTTTGTTTGGTACGCACTTGCGGCGGGGGTCGTTGGGCTGGGCTGGACGCGGCGCGAGGGCGGTGTTTTTCTTTGGCATCCATCGATCGAAACGGTGCCTCCCTCTCTCTCGTCGCGTGGTGCGAGTAGGGGAAAGGATTGGGGGCAGAGCGGAGGGAAGGAGGGGGAGGGCTCAGCAGGGAGAAACTGGCGAACGAACATTGGGAGGATGGGAACTCGAATTGTGGTTCAAAACGCATAATCTACTGTGTTGAAGCATCTATCTATTGTTTGTCCTTGCGAGAGCTTGGCCGTTCGATGGCCCCTTCGTTTGTCTGTCTTGGTCTCCATTCGAGGCCTTCTGCCCTCTTGGTGCCAGGGCACTTTGGTTACTCGATCGATCGCCTGCATGGCCCGGTCTCCATGCGAGGAATGGTGGGTGCCACGTTTGGTTTGCTGGCCTTCCTTTCGTGGGGGGTTTTTCGACAGGGCGTTCTTGGTAACTATCGGAGAAGTCTAGATTCGGCTTGTCGTGTCTCATCTCATCCACCCCCCTGTCTTGCTTCTGCTCGGTAACTCACTGATTAGCAAGCCACCGGCCCCCCACGCTTTCGAATTACCGGGGTAGGCGGCGGTCTGAGGACTGGGTGCCGATTTGGGTCGTTTTAGGCAGAGTTATCACAGGGGTCACGGTGGAATGGATGCGGACGGCCGAGGTATGGTTTGGGACCGGGGATTTTACGGTGCTTTGACTTTTGGTAGGGCATTTTTGTTGTTGTGTTTTGTTTTGTTTTTTGTTTTGCTTTGTTTTGTTATTTTTGTTTTGTCTGAAGATAAACGAAACGCTAATGCTGGCAATGCCGTTTCCCCATAGTGATACAACAATTCCAACACCAAAATCAGAACGCAAAGAAACCGTGTCATCAGTCATTTCCCAAACCCAATACCAGGTACAATCTCACGGGGTATATCCTTGCTTCCAAGCCGTCGCCAACCCTTTCAGTGCCGCAGCCGTTCTGCTGTTGTAACAATAGTCGTTGTTGATGTTGTTTGTGTTGGTTCTCTCTAATCATCTCGAAACGGACGAGGCGGCCGAGACGGTCGAGTCATTGGAGTTGGTTCGGCTCAGGCGGGCCATGAAGAACTCCATGTCGCGGAGGACGATCTCGGGGAACTTGACTTCCTTGTCCGCAGTGGTGGACTGGTAGTCGGTGCTGGTCGACTGCATGCTGCTGGATCGACTGTGCTGGCCAGTGAAAGGGGTCTCTTGCTGGAGCATATTGGTTGCGTCAAGGGATCCGATCGGGGCAGGCATGTCGCTGGTTGGGTTGGACTGGACGAGGTTGTTAGTATGAGTGGGTGACGACTGCTAAGGCTGTGTGTGGTGTGGCTGACTTACACGGTGGGCTGCGGAAGGTTTTACAGCTTGTGAAGTGTGTGAGAGAGAGATACAGAGTCTGAGGGAATGATAAAAGAGACAAGTTCAAACTTCTCAACCCATTCGAAAAGCATCGCTCCAAGCTGAAAAGAAAAAGACAACTTTTTTTCTTTCCGGAGCCTCGAGTCGTTCTTATACTCGAGAGACTACCCCCATCCCAACCCAACTCTTGACACAACAGAACCGAGCGAGCTGCAGGGGTCGCGTGGGTAGAGACACATCATTGGCCGCCTCTCAGCCTTTTCCCCAGATATCGTTGGCTGCAGCAGGTCATTCGGTGTCGGGATAAGGCTCGACGCAAGGGATTCGCTTTGGGCTGCTGCTCTCGTGACCGTCTCCGTGGGGAGAGCACAGCTTGGGGGCCTTGAAGGATGCCTGCATTTCCGGAGCCCGAGCATTGGTTTGTCAAGGTTTTCCGGGTCTGGACGTTCTCCCCTCCCCTTTTCAGAACACCATCTCGATCCCACCGGCCTCCTCATCTCCCGTCCCCCATCCCACATGTCCCGGAAATCACGCCGCATCTCCCCTTGAGCCATGTGCCGCGGGCCGAGATGGCAACGGCTTTAGTGGGATTCCGAGCTCGTGTGCCCCCTGTAAAAACCACCGCTAACAACATGGGGACCGACTCTCACGAATTACATATGTATTTGGGGATGTGTTGTTGAAAGGTCCACTACTAGTGACATCAGCGAGGCACCATTGTCGCTCTACAGATATTAAATGGTGTGACAGATGACAAAGAACGACACGGCAGAGCGACGGACAACACCAACCACACTAAGAGGTTCGGCTCACGCCCCCTCCCTCGCGGCTTCGAAAGGGTGCAGTGAGCCGTGACCCCCACATCACGGCCCGATTTCTCGGCCACGCCATGGCGTCTCCCCCAGATGCCACCGCTGCAGCCGACCCAAAGCGACAAAGAAACCCAGAAGGTTTTGCCGAGCCGAGTCTGGGTGTGGCGGGTCAGGGGTAGAATCAGATCCCCCTGTCATGGGTTTCACGGGCAGCATCTCGAACACGCGACCTCCTTGGAGTATACTTTGCGCGAGGAATGACGATAGCAGCTTATTAGTACCTCGAAAGTAATTAAAAGCTGCGAGCAAAAAATGTTCCAATCGTCAAAATACTCGTGGTTCCCCCTTTCCCATTCACTTGGTAGCGATTCCCTCAAACACAGCAAGTTAGTTTGGTAAAAAAGAATAAATACACGTAGATCACATACCGTAATATTCGATGATATACAAGTACGTAGACCTGTAACTGAGACTCGGTATTTTGTATGTACAACAGGGTACCGCATCGGTTTGCAGCTCTGACTGCCGTACCCCGTCGGCCCGTGGTGTTTGCTCGGGTAGATGCAAGGCACTACGTGTGTCTACCTTCCGTCTGTTGACCAGAATGAGCTTGAAACACTATGAAGCGTAGGAATAAATGAATGTGCTGCTCTAAGTTAGTAAAGTTCCGGATGACTTGTCAAAGTTGACAACTCCAAGCCGTCTCGACTGTTGTCTTGGGGATCGTGCGGGAATGAGATGTGGGTTAAAAGATGAGAGAATGAGATGACTACTATTCCTCTGATTCGCGTCAAGTATTTGAGAAAAGGACTTCCATACTATATTGCGTTACGTTACAAACCCTCCCGGGCTCAAGGTCGCGTTTGTTTACTTTCTCTTTTTTCTCACAAACAACCCCTCGAACGATACAAAAACAAAACATGTTTTGACCACGACAGCCAACACCCATTGTGATTTTTTTTGCTCAGCTCATCCGATAGTTTGGGTTTCTTCTTGAAGCGACCGCCATGGTTTTGGTACCGCTTATGATGTTTTTTCTCTTTCAAGTGTTTTTATCACCGGCAGACAGCCTTCTAATACGGCCGCATGAGACGGACGAGCTCACTCTCTCATCATACGACTACATAATTGTCGGAGGAGGTGTTTCCGGCCTTGTGGTTGCTAATCGGCTCAGCGAAGACTCGAATGGTTTGACATCCTTTCATCCCTAACTAGTCACAGCACTGACAGCACCCAGTGACGGTTCTCATACTCGAAGCTGGGTATTTGTAGGAAACCTTAAGACGCTTCACCGAAATATACTCGCTAACACTACTTGCAGAGACCCCTCTTCAGATATCGTCACCGTCCCGGGACTGATCGGCCATGGATTCCCCCCCGCCTACAACTGGAATTTTACCACGGCGCCCCAGGAGTTCCTCGACAGCAACACACGGGACTACGGGCAAGGGCATGTGGTTGGCGGAGGAAGCATTCTCAACGGCATTGTCACAACCAGGGGTGCCCGCGCCGACTACGATGCTTGGGAAGCACTGGGAAATCCCGGCTGGGGCTGGCAAGACATGCTGCCATACTTTAAAAAGGTGTGTCATGGGATAATGACGGCCAGTCCGTATGCTAAGGCGCAACAGAGCGAGAAGTTCTCGATAGGCTTGTCCCAAGAACGGGCAAGAGCACTACATATCAGACCTGACCAGTCCGTCCATGGGACCAGCGGCCCCCTTGAGGTCACCTATCCCAACTTTCTCTACAACCAATCCAGTAGGTTATCGCCAACACGGTTCCGTGAAGCAACCCCAAGCTAAAACCATCCAGCCAACTTCCTTCGCGGCCTTTCTGAGCTAGGGGTGCCATTACTTGCAGACCCAAACGCAGGAGTAGCCGTGGGAGCCATGATTGCCCCGGCGAGCATGTCGGCCAGCAATCAATCGAGGATGGACAGCAGAACGGCCTATCTCGACCCCGTGCTCTACCGGCCGAATCTGCACCTTGCCGTTGGGCAGACTGTCACCCGTCTCCTCATTGAGTCTAATGGGACCGCAAACACTGCCGCCCCCCCCTTTGTGGGTCCGGCCAGGGCGTACGGAGTTGAGGTAACCAGATTGTAGCCGGAGATCTGGAAATAAATATGGGACTAACTGGAGTCAGTATACCACCTCTGCCGAATCTCTCCACCGGCAAGTGTGGTGCGGTAGAGAGGTTATCCTCGCCGCCGGAGCTATTATCTCACCAGCTCTGCTTCAGGTGTCCGGGATCGGGCCAGCCGACCTCCTGAATGAGTTGGGTGTTCCAGTGAAGGTCGATCTTCCGGGGGTGGGGCAGAACTTCCAAGACCACCCCATGGTTGGGGTTTTCTACAACTGTGAGTTCTCTCGTGCTTCTTCAGACATGCCCCTAACAATTTCCAGATACCAAACCTGGCCTCTTTTCGACCAGAAACCTCACTGGCGACACGCTCCTCCAGGCCAAGGAAGCCTACTTCACGAATCGTACAGGTAAGCCTCCTCTTTTCTTTTCTTTTTTTTTTTTTCCTTTTCTTTGTAACGCCCCAACTAACTCTCCCCCGACCACAGGTCCGTGGACAAGCCCCCTAATCACCACCATCGCCTTCGCCCACCTCAGCCACCTCACCGCCAACAACAACACCACCACCACCACCACCAACACCACCGCTTCCCTCCTCACCGCCCTCCTCAACACAACCACCCCAAACCCAAACACAAACACAAACACATCCAGCCCCAGCCCCAACCCCAACCCCAACCCCAACCCCAACCCCAACTCCCTCCAATACCTCCCGCACACCACCACCCGCCACAAAACCCTCCTCGCAGGCTACACCGCCCAACTGACCCTCCTCGGCAGCACCCTCCTCCCCAACCCGGCCGTCGCCGCCCTCGAGCTCCTGGCCGACTCCCTCGGCACCCTGACCGTGGCCGTGCAGCACCCCCTCAGCAGGGGCACGGTGCGCGCGCTTTCGGCGGACCTACTCCTGCTCGGGGGCGATGGTGGTCATAATGGCGGTGGCGAAGGTGGTGGTGGTGGTGGTGGGGTGGCGCGCAACATCGCGCTGGACCCGCGGTACTGCTCGCACCCGGCGGATTGCGCGCTGCTGGTGGCCGGGGTGGGGATGAGTGGGCGGGTGGCGGGGACGCGGGCGATGCGGGAGTTGAGGCCGCGGCCGGAGGTTGGGCTTGCGGTTTCTTCTTTTGGTAGTGGTGGCGGCGATGGCGGTGGTGATGGTGCTAATGGTGATGATGGGAAAGAGGTGCTGGAGATGGTCAAGCGGCGGGTGCAGACCGAGTTTCACGCGTCGGGGACCACGGCCATGATGCCGCTCCACTTGGGGGGCGTGGTCAGCAAGAGGCTGGTGGTGTATGGCACGGCGAATGTGAGGGTGGTGGATGCCGGGATCATGCCGCTTGTTGTAGGCGCCCATATACAGGCTGCCGTGTATGCGGTGGCGGAGAAGGTATGTTTATCATGGCTCCCTGTCGTGTTGGGTCCTCTTCTTGCTGGCATTAAACCGTTTCTAGGAGGAAATAAACATGAACACGATACTGACAAACGGGTAGGCGGCGGATCTTATAAAGGAGGACAACAAGCGTAATGTCGGTCGACATCTCAAGTCTAGGAAAGGCAATTAGGACATCTACGGCGGGCATCCACCACCTCGACGTGGTGCCGGGGAAGCGGCTGAGTCAACACTGCCCGGTTGCTCGTCGCGGGACAAGGCCGTGTCAACATATACTCAGTGGAGGAAAAGCCACGCCGTTCGAGCACAGGGTGTAATAATAGTAAGACTGGTATTGTCGGTAAACCTCATAACTTATTGCAGCTAGTCTACCGAGCCAACTAATCGTAAACACAATAAAATTACCCCAAAGGGTCTAAAGAACGTTATCTAACCACAACTGCATCATTTGCTTCCATATCCCGGGTATCAGTGCAAATTCGTTTTCCAGACATCACCCAACCATTACCACACATATTCCACTCCCCTCTCCACTACCCTCCAAACACCGCCACCCATCCTATTAACCCCCATCCACCTTCAGATCCAAAAAGAACGGGCCACCTAGAAATAAACTTTCTCCTCCCAGACAGGCGGGCGGCTGCCCTCGTGGTCCCAGACCAGCTTTCCGTTCTCGTTCAGCTCGCAGCCCTCGTCGGTGATGGGGATGACGCGGCTGGTGTGGGCGACCTCCTGCTTGGAGACGCCGGCGGCGTCCGAGGGGATCCACAGCAGCGGGGTGCCGCTGGTGACGGAAGGCGGGTGGTAGGCGTTGGCAGCGACCTCGTCCGAGTAGGGGTCGAGGTGCAGGTTGCGGGGGACCAGGGCGCGTAGCACCGTGTAGTCGGCGTAAATCCACGGCTTGAAGAAGCGCGTGAGGAAGTTGCCGGCCTGGCCCGTGGCCTTGCGGGCCTCGCGCGCGTGGCTGACCGACGCCTCGGTGGGGTCGATCACGCCGTCGCCGTCGAGGTCGTGGTGGTTGCCGTTGCTGGGCCCGACAGCGGCGGCGACGGCAGCCTCGCCCTTCTCGGCGTCAAGCAGGCGCGCGCTCTCCTCCTCGGCGAGCAGCGTCAGGGGTAGGTTGTACAGCAGCGGGTTAAGGGCCGAGTTCAGCGAGAGGTGGAAGAGGACGGTGAAGACGAGGAAGACGACCATGAGGACGAGCGGCCCGACCGCCACAGACGCACCGAAGAGGCCGATCATGCACACCTCGGCAAGGTAGATTCCGGTGAAGAGCTGCTTGATGGCCTTGGGGTAGATGAGGCCGCGCGTGTCGATCTGGGTGTCGGTCACAAAGAAGATGTTGTAGCGCCAGGCGAAGTAGAAGAGGAACATGGCGACGGTGGCCCAGCCGAGCATCAATGGGGCGATGCACGAGTAGGTGATGGCTAATAAGCGCGTTAGCATGATTCAATGAGAGCCGGGCGACGGGGGAGGCGGGGACGGTGCTTACCAATAACCACAATGTTGGTGTACACGGGCAGGGTGCTGCCCCACGAGATGGCGCTCAGGTTAGACCACTTCTGGTAAAGGGCGCGCGGGGTGTTGGCCAGGAACTTGTACAGCAGCGAGAAGATGAAGAAGCCGACGACCTGGGTCAGTACGCTGGTGGCAATGGTCAAGCCCTGGACGATGAAGTAGGAAATGTACAGGTTGGAGGCCTTGGGCAGGTTGGAGGCCAAGATACTTGGGGCGCTCGTGGGGTTGTTGACAATCTGCTCGGCGACGGCGGTGGCAGACGAGGACAAGGTAGCGACGAGGAAGACCTGGATAACCTGGAAGGCAAAGTAGGCATTCTGCGTGAACAGCTCGACTCTCGAGACCGAGGGCTCTCCGGCCAGCTTCGCGCACACTGCTTCAGGTTAGCTAGGTTCCACATTCGCACACGTGCAAGGAGACTCGCGACATACAGCGCATGACGATGGGCACCAACGACATCAGAATCGACAGCAGGACTGAGGGCAACAGGCCGGTCACGACGCCCATGATGACGTCCGGGATTTCGTTCAACCAGCGGAGGAAGCTGATGCTGGAGAGGAAGTCGATGTTGCTGACGATACCGACGAAAGCGACGGGGATAGCCCAGAAGAGAATCATGGCAGCAATGAAGCCCAGCACAGCGTAGCGGCGGATGACCTTTTGCCACCAGGGGATGGCGAGCGACTTCCAGATGACCTCGCCGGGCCTGATGCCGACGTACTTGGGCGTCATGTGCAGACCCCGGTGATGGGCGAGGATCTGCGAGGCGCCCTCGGCGTCCGACTGGGTGCGGAACTCGACGAAGACGCCCGGGATGTTCTTGAAGCCTCCCGCGCGGTACTTGGCCTGGGCCGCCTCGACCTCGGGGATGAGGCGCTCCAGCTCGGTGCGGCACCAGTTGATGGTGTCGACCTTCTTGCCGACCAGGCCGAGGAATCCGAGGCGGTGGGTGGGGCGCTTCTTGGGGGGCACCCAGCGGGCGGCAATGCTGCCGGATTCGGCGTCGCCGGCGATGGGGGCCTTGTCGGCCTCTTCGGGGGAGGCGCCCTTCTTGATGGCGCCCTGGCGTGCCTTGTTGGCGAGCTTGATCAGCTTGACCTCGGCCTTCTCGAGGCGCATGGCGGCCTTGTCGCGTTCCTCGACCAGCTTGTCGACCTCCTTGGTGTCGCCGGTGATCCAGACGCTCTTGACGGCGGCACCAAAAACCTTGCGCATGCTCGCCTCGTTCAGGTACGGCTCCGGGACCGAGGTGAACAGCACGGTGCGGGACGAGAGGCGGTCGGCGTAGAAGGGGCTCAGCAGGAAGGCCTGACGCAGGTTGATAAAGAAGATGCATTCGCGCATGATCAGGTACATGACGAAGCCAAAATAGGCCCAGCCGACGAAACAGTGGGCGTAGTAGCGGTTGTACTGGTTATCCCGGTCGATGTTGGCGTACGACAGGATGTTGAGCTCGGTCTGCTTCGCGCCGCCGGTGGCATTGACGGGGAAGAGGACGGGCCATGTGATGCAGCAGCCGACAAAGCACAGAACCAGGGCCATGCGAAGGTAGCGGAGGTAGAGGTAGGCATCGAGAGACTGGTGCTGGAGAGCGTACACGTCGGGTATCTTCCAGAAGCTCCCTACCCAGTTGAACAGGCCATTAGGGAGAGGAGGGGAGCGCTCGCTGCAATATGTTAGCACTGCAGATTGGGAGCTGAAGACTCCAGTCTTGACTCAAGGCTGTGATGATCATGGCATACCCCTCCCGCAGACTCCCAAGGTAGGTTCTCGGGGCATAGTAGCGTCTCTGGCTCTTTCTCAAGACCAAGAAGATGGCGATGTAGATGGCGGAGATGACTGCGACCGGGGCGAGGGTCGAGATCATGCCTGTATGCTGTTATCAGTTTCCCGCCCGGAGGTGGTTCGATCCAGTGTCACATTGACCCAGACGTGGGACTTACCCGAGAGCGAGCTCGGATCGGGCTGGTCGTCGCTACTCATGATGGCGACAAGGCAGAATCACTCTGCGGCCCCCTGATTTGGTGTTTTTCGATATTTCGGTATTTGATGTCGACGATGGTGATGATGACGACGACGACGACGACGACGGCAACAACGACAGTGCCCGGAAAGAGAGGTCCCTTTGGGCAGTGCGCGTTCTGAAACAGGCGTGTCAGGTCACGAAATGATGGTAGGAAACGGCATTGACTGGCGCAAGAGCGGGTTGGTATTCGTTATGAGGCCTGGCCCTGGCCAAGGCGCTTGCCGCCACCAGTGAGAGGGTTTCGGGAGGGAGCACAGAGCAAATGTAACGCGAAGAGGGGCGCGTTTGGCTGAGACAAGGGGCGCCTCGATGGCGTTGGGCTGGCTTGGGAAAGTACAGGGGAGGTCCAAGGAGCTGAGGACAGCTAATTTGCACCTTGTGCACCTCTTGCACCTTGGCTCTTTCCTGTCTGATGGACCTCTAAAATATCAATTGAATAGGATTACGGGAGACAGAAGTACAATCAAAATCCATTTCTACAGGTCCAATGTCAGGCATCAGCCCTGACACTGCATCATTGTCTGGTCAGGGAAGCCCGCTTTGTCGCTTGGCTGACATTCCCCAAAAGCCATCTTGGAAAGTTGACGGCATTCAATGACGCAGGACCCTTCCAATCGCGGGAAGAAGAGTGGGGCGCTGCAAATTTGAGCAGCTGGACCAGGGTCACGGCAATCGCGCGCGATGTGACCCTCCCAAAGCTGCAATCTTGAAAGTGGGCCAGCCTCTCACAGCTCTCCAAGCATCCAGCATCTCCATCCCCACGGCCATCATTTATCTGAAAAGCGCGGCATCTTCCCATGTCATCGAGCACCTGCAGTAACTAACCAGCTGACAACAAACGCATCTCTGTGATGGCCTCCACACGCACCATATGCAACTACAAGAACTAGCTTGCTTTAGCTTTCGCAATGTCTCAGGTGCCAATACGGCACCAGTCCTTCTTGAGAAGACAACGCAGAACACCATCTCCCGGTCCGTTCTGGTGCGTTTGCATTGCTGTCCCGATCGAAGGCTACCCTCCATCGGTTCGCTGTCCACTTGCAGATCGCATCCAGCACCTGGTTCACCCCGCAGTGCAGGGTCCCACTTCCATCTTGTCTTGTTGAGCTTGTGTCACCACATCACACAAGATCTGGGAAGCAACCTGGAAGTCGCTGTCCAGCCGGTTCTTGTTGATCTGCAGGTGTTTAACTCGTGAGCTAATCGTACGATTCCATGGGCCAGTCGCATTTCCTAGCCGAGCGTCACATGATTCCCAAATCCAGAGTGTGTTTTTAGGGTTTTTTTGTCGCCGACAGATCGGCTCATCGGCAGGTAATTGCCACCAGAGCTATCGCAGGCCGAGGGTTCCCAACTAATGCTCCCGAATTGACCGGGAACGCGAACGGGTTTTAGACCGACAGGACTTCGGCCGCGTCTTGGCCCGTGCTTAATGAGTCAGGAACTGCACTTGGAAAAAAGGGATGATTTTGCCTGTCTTATGTATATCACACCCATACCTCCAATAGCGCAGACAAGTTGATATTTGATAACTGTGGCCAATGTGACGTATATAAGAAACACACACATTGGTTCATTCAAAATGGGTTCAATTTGAATTTGCCAACCCAGCCTCACGCCGCTTTTTCGGGTCCAGAAGGGGACGCTGCCTGCAGAGGGAGGGTTGAGCACTTTAGCTCAACCTGGGCTGGAAGCTCCCACCACGCGAGGCTGCTGGCCTCGCCTTGAGCAAGTTGCAATTTCGATGTTAGGTGTAGTGCCGTGGACTTTGGTAAGGTAGGTTAGGAAGGTAAGCGGGCCTGCCGGGCTGCAGGCCTGACTCAGCTTGGAGGGCGCACGACTCCTGATAATCATAATTAGGTACACATGCATCAACCTCAGAGCTGCATCTTTTCTTTCCAAGGCTTCTTGTTATCATTACTATACGGAAACCTTCATCCATCAACCTCCTTTACAAAGGGGGGAAAAAACCTCGAATTTGCTCGTCTAACTCCTAATTAGCTCACCTGTCCACTGCTCCTCATTTTATCTAACATCTCCATCTCATTGGTCTCACATCCCCGAGCGATGGACTCGGGCGCTCTTGACCATGATTTTAACAACTTTTGGGGCTCTGTCTTGGGCGTATCTGACCTGCAGAGCCGGCCGGTATCTAGCGCCCTGATGAGCGAAGACTGGCGAGACCCAGCCAAGTCGTACCGAGACTTTGGCAAGATTCTGTCGCTATACACGGATAGTTTTGAGCAAGCTTTGTTTCTTCCCTCCTGTGACGGAAAGCGCACCCAGGGTTGGGGTTAGAGGTGCACTTCCGCATCCGGACTAGCTCCGTTCTGGGCATGCCTTCTCGCGTTGCCAACGCGCTAGTTATCTTGTATCTTTCCTCTCTTTCTTCAGCTTTCGATTAGCAGAATTGAGTCAGCATACGCAGTGCCCTTGTGCCTCGCCTAGATGTTACTCGTCCCTCACACCTCCCTTTCTCTACTTGCTCTTCTATTGCTACTCAACGCCCAATAACCGTTTCTAACGGTACTTGGATAATTGAACAACTTGGAGAAAAAAAATAACAAAACAGGCGCTTTTTCTCCGGCACCCTTCCCATCTCTTTCCACAGCCACGTTACTGACGCCATGAACCCCGTCACAAGCCAAGAATAAAAGTTATGCGTAATGCAATAGTGTTTCCCCACGTACGTTTCGCTACTGTCACGGGCACAGCCCGTTCCTTGTAGGGTTAGGGTTGAACGTGCTGAACCCCGAGGTGGGGTTCTGATGGGAGGGCTTTACGAGCTGCACGTGGCTCTGCGTTGGTCTGTGCGCAGCCACAGGGTTTTCCCTGAGCCGCCTCCCACATTCGGTTCCTCGTGCAACCACACAATATACCAGCTTGCCCCTACCACGGTGATTCTAACCTTGATAGTTGGTTGCACCTTCAGTTCGCGTGTGCAGCAGTAAGCGCTACGAGAGAGCGTTATTTTCAATCAATTACGAAGATCCAACGAACCCGGCGAGGTTTCCGACGCTCCGAGCGACTTGCAGCTGCGTCGCGCGGACCACTGCATCGACAGAAAATAAGAAGACATACGATCTAGATCGCCAAGAACGCCAAGATGGCTAGTGACGGCCGGCTCCCGGGCGCGGGTTTGGGGTGGGGGTGCTGAGTCATCAATTACAGTTGAATGAAAGGCAAGGTTCTGCATCTGGATGCGCCGCTTTTCCAGCCACACAGCTCAGCTGCCCGCTAGCAGGGGCTCCACCGCGATGTTCTGTCGCCCAATCCGGCGTTTGCTTTTGCACACAGTCACACAGTAAACACCGCCACGGGCCAACACAGCTGCAGGTGGGTGTTCAATTACCACGGGTTGGGGTTGCAACCGTTTCAAAGTTGGCGGGCTGTGTCTTCGAGTCATCTGCTGGCGGGAGGACCACCTCGCTTTATCGCGCCGCTCACACGTCACTCCGTGACATTCCAGGATGTGTACGAAGTACCTCTGGCTTGCTCTACCATAAACTCGCTGGCTCAGCCCCAGCGGTCACGAACGGCAATACTATGTAGACTGCCGCTTCCGTCAACTGAGCTGCAGTTTTCCCTTTATCCAGCCATGCTCCGCGACAAAGACCACAATGGTTCAGGGCTGGTAGCGACGCATACGGCTTGACTACTGCACCGTGACAATGGGTGTCCTTAATATGAAGAGGGCGGATGGCCTGGCGTCCCGAAACACAGTCTCATCATCGAGCCAGTTGCGCGAGACATCCCCATCGGACCGCATTGCCGCCATCTCCCCGTAAGAAACATGACCAACGTAGCCCGCAGAGCCGTTCCGGCACACCTAGCAGAGCATGAAGACGATGACCATGCTGGCCAGAGGGGCTACATCAAAGGGACCGACTTCTCGCTGCCGTACTTCTCGCAGTGGTCACGCCTCCACGAGTCCGAAGCCAGCGACGGCCTGCTCCGCCATGTCAGCTGCGGCTACCTCTCGACGCACGGCGTGCCGCCGACGCTACTGGCGCTCAAGCAACACGCCCAGTCACTGTGCGTGCTCATCCATGCGCTGAACCCGACCCTCAAATCCGCCGAGATCGCCGGCGGCAATCCGGCCAAGGCAGGGTCCAAGAAAACGGGGTCAGCGGCGGAGGCAGCAGGGGCGGCCGAGGACTCGCTCGGGCTCAAGTACGAACTCAACGACGCCTTCGACTTTCTCACGGACCTGAGCGTGCCGTACACCAACGACGACCCCAACCACCACAAGCCCCTGACCGGGCTGGCCAACGAGGTCCGCGGCCGCCACGAGGCCCTCGGCACGATCTACCACTGCCCCTTCGCCGAGCACAAGCCGCGCGGCCGGGGCGAGAAACAAAAGCCCTACGCCAACCACCACAACCTCATCATGCACGCCAACGCCTGCCTCGAGCGCCTCGACCACGAGTTCAGCAGCACCGGCGGCCTGATGAGCCTGCTCCCCACCACCACCACCACCACACCAACCACCAACCCCAACCCCCACCACCCAGCAACGGACCTCACCAACGCCCGCAACAGCCTCCTCGGCCAATGGCTGCACTTCACGCAGACGCTCGTCGCGCGCATGCACGAGCTGGAACGGGCGTACGGCAACGCGCTGGACGCGCTGGCCGGCGAGGCCGCGATCCCGCACCAGGCGCTCGCCGCGCAGGGGCCCGACGGCCGCGCCACGGGCCGTGTCGTCGCGTACCCCCAGGACCGGTGGGTGCTGGTGAATGCCGGGGACGAGGTCTTTGAGGCGGTGCATCGGTTGTTGGATCGCGAGGAGGGGAAGGGTCGGGTGAGGGAGAGGGTTTGGAGGGGGAATGGGGTCGTGGGGGATGGGTTGTGGGTGGGGAAGGGTGGCGAAGGTGGTGGTGGTGGTGGTGGTGGTGGTGGTGTTAGTGCGGGGGTGCGGGACTACGCGAGGGGCATCGTGCCGGTGGATATCATGACGCGGTATTATCGGCTTGCTGGGTCTGGACGTAACACGCTGTTTGTGGTGCCGGCGTGGGAGCAGCACCCCGGGGTGGAAACCTCGCGCGAGACGGAGGCGGCTCCGACCGTGGTCGCCTGTCCGCAGCCTAAGTTCCCCCAGCGTGCCACCGAGTTGGAGAAGCGCTACACGGCGCGCATCAACCACGCGCAGCGCATCGAGCTGGAGGCGCTGCGGGTGCGGCGGAAGGCGGAGGAGCTGCGCGGGGAGGTTGGGGTGCTGCGCCGGCAGAACGAGACGTTGGCACGTTCGAGGGATGCGTTGATGTTGGCGGTTGGGGAGGGCGGTGTGGATGGGGATGGTATGAAGCTGGCGGGGGAGGTGCATAAGCAGAGGGAGAGGGCGGCCAAGGCGGAGCGGGAGATTGAGGTTATGAGGGTGGAGAGGAATCGGGCGCTGGCGAGGGAGGAGTCATTGCGTGAGGAGCTGAATGAGTTGAGGAGGGAGTTGGCTGCGATTCGGGGTAGTGAGTAAGGGGGTTTGGATTCCTCTCTGGGTTTTAACACTTGGTTTTGAGGGGTTTACACTATCTATTTTGTAGTGCATCTGTTTCTTTTCATTAAGTTAAACCACCTACAACGTTCCTCTACATAACTACCTATGCATCAAATGGGATCCAAAATATTTGTTGTATGCAGGGTTGAGAAGAGAGATGGCTCTGTCGTTCAACCCCTGGTTTTATTTGGATGCACAGATATGGCTTCCTGAGAGACATTATCTGCACTCCTGTGACCCGTCACCTCGAATTGTTGCGTTTCTGAAGTTTGTGCTACACACCCTCTTCATCCTCCGAACTTCCGCATCGGGATGTTGCCGTAGCAACGCTATGCATCCGATCCCACCCGCCACTCCGAGATGGAAGCTGACCTTGAGAGACATGGCTTGAAAAAACCAGCAAGACATGCAGATAACAGAAAAACATTGACCAATGACGGACATCCATTCAAGATAGCATGTGCAGCTGCGCAAGCCCGGTGAGGGATGGACGGTGTGTGTGTGTGGCGGGGTGGCGGGGTGACGGGTCTGGACCGGTTTGTTGACATTCCCTGATTGAACCCCTCAGTCACCGAGGATGGCATCGGATCCCACTTTTTACCTTCCTATTCCCTGCCTTACCCTGCTCTGCCAGAGACCACACATCTGGCTTTTTTTCTTGCCCACTCGATTGATGCCAGATCATCCTGCATTTGCTGGAGTATCATTATGATGATGCCTTGATCTATTCTTATTGCTTTAGTTCTTGTTTGGAGTTGCTCTCGGAATCTCCAAAATCTAGACCAGGGATAGGCATTCCCGTGCCATCGTATACGAGAGCTGGTCAAACTAGACACTGCGTCATTCCCCGCCGCATACCTCGTACGGACACGGCAATCTACAGAGCAATGCGGAGCTAAGCGAGGCGATTACCATTACGGCCTCTTCTCAATCATCTCATCTCCTCCCATGCCTCTTTCCCCTTTCTTTGCCGGGAGAGCAATGCTGACGCCTTCGGGTGCTGGTGCGCTCCCGGGCGGGGCCAGCACCTCGCCGTCGTCCGTCAGGGGCTCCGCGGCAGCTACCCGGCGCCATCCCGGTCCCGGTCCCGGTCCCGGCCACCAGCAAGCGGCATTCAACAAGAGGTTTGCTTTTGCGGCTCTCAGTTTGGCCACACGCGTGTCCGCCGACCCGATACTGCCGTACACCCCGACCACCATTCTGCTGCCCCCTGAGGGTAGCACCGGCAGTGGCACCGCTTACATCTTCGCCCCGAGCGGAGACACCCGGAACGCAGTCGACTTCCTCGCCCTCAACGTCTCCAGCCTGCGCACGTCTGCCCTCGAGCCCACCAAACTCACACCCTCCCTCCCCTTCCTCTCCGCAGACCCGACCGACTGCACCACCTTCGCGCCGACCCTCCTCCGCAACGGTACAATCGCCGTTCTGGCTGGCGACTGCGCCTCGACATCCACCTCCACCCTTTGGACCTACACGCCGGGCCACACAGACACGCCATGGACACAACACGCCATCACGCCTTCCACCAGCTGGGACAACGCGCAGAGCGGGCCCTACCACCTCGGCGGCGTGCTCAACTTCTCCCCGCAACTTAGCCCCGTGCTCTCGGAACCCACCCTCTACCTCTACGGCGGCATGTGCCCGTTCCCCAACGCCTCAACCTCCACCTGGCAGTCCAAAGCCACCTATTCCAACCGCATGCTCCGCCTCACCCCACCCCAACCCCCCACCACCCAGGTCAACAACAACAACAACAACAACAACAACAACAACAATAACCCTCCAGCATACACCCTCACCTACGCCATGCCGCACGGCCAACTCCCGCCTGTCGCCGAAGCGGGCTTTTCCCTGACCGAGCTCGCCCCCTCCCTCTCCAACCGCAGCAGCAGCAGCAGCAACGGAGCCACCAACGTGGTCGTCCAGCAAACCAGCCACGTGCTCCTCGGCGGGCACACGCAGGGCGCCTTCGTCGGCATGGCCGCCGCCGCGCTGTGGTCGCTGCCGGAGGAGACGTGGAGCTTTGTGCGCATTGCGCCGCCCGCGGCGGCGGGGAAGCCGGATTTGGCGCGGTTGAGGGGGGCAGAACGGGGGGTGGGGAGGCGGGGTGAGGATGATGGGGCCGAGGTGGATGTTGGCGTGGATAGTCGGTCGGGACACACGGCGGTCTTGAGTGAGGATGGGACGAGGTTGGTGGTGTATGGGGGGTGGGTTGGGGATGTGAGCCAGGCGGCTGAGCCGCAGTTGGCGGTGGTGAGGATTGGGGTCGGGTTGGGGGATTGGCAGTGGGAGGTGCCTGATCAGGGGCCTGGTGGGCGTGGGAGTGGGGTGTATGGGCATGGTGCGGTGGTGTTGCCGGGGAATGTGATGATGGTGTATGGGGGGTATGAGATTTCAGGGGGTGGAGTCAAGAGGCAGGCGGGCGGGGGGCAGGGAATGTTTTACAATATCACGAGCGGGAGCTGGTCCGACGTCTATGTTAGTCCCCTTACCGAGGGAGATAGTGATGGTAGTGGTGGTGATGGGAATGGGAGTGGCACCGTCGGCGGCGGGGGCAGTGGTGGGAGTGGTTCGTCCGGGCCGGGCGGGGATGATAGCAGCCCGGATAACTCGTCACTAGCAAGGCAGATTGGCCTCGGGGTTGGCCTTGGAGTTGGCCTGCTTGTCCTCGCCATCGCGGCCTTCTTCGGGTTCCGTTGGTTCCGCCGGAGACAGAAGCGTCGGGCAGCACGCGATGAGACTCTCCGCGGCCTATCCCAGGGCGTCAACGGCTCGCTCCCCCGTGGCATCGGCGACGACGATGAAATGCTTGAGCGGAATCACAGCATGGGCATGTTCCCCTGGACGGCCGGTGCCGCGCGTGACTGGTACACGGGCGGAAACGACCCCTACTCACAGGGCCAACGCTCCCTGGGCTACGAGACCCTCCGCAGCGGGTCCAGACCTCACTCGCTGTACATCCCGCCACCGCCGTCAGCATCGACCTTCAGCCACCGGCTCAAGGGTGCCAAGGGCCTCCACCAGCCAGCTTCATCTTACGACTCCACACCGCTGACGCGCTCCCCAAACCGCATCGAGCCTATCTACGAAGCGGACGAGGACGAAGAGGGCGACCTCGGGAAAGGCTACCCGCTGAGCCCAGACAAGGAAGAACGCGATGACGGCGACGACGACCCCTTCCTCACCCCCACCGTCGACACCCCCGTGGGCGCGCGCTTCCCGGCCGCAACCGCAGCCAACGCCAACTCCCCAACCCCACCTCTCACTTCAACCCAACCCCCAACAGAAAAAGCAAGCGGTAACAGCGGCGGCCAGCACCAAGACCCCGACGTCCAAGGCTGGGTATCCAACGTGGACGCATCCACGCCAGCACCAAGCCACCACCACCACCACCCACTCACCAGGCGCCCGTCCCAAAACACAGCCCCCCCACCACCACCACCACTACCAGCGGCAGAAACAACGTCGACAACCGTTGCGGTAGCAACCGGGCGCGTATCGCCCCTCCGCCGTGGCGCATCAGCCAAGTCGGCCAAGTCGGCGGCAGGGCGGCACTCGCTGGTCTCGGCGCCGACGGACTCGTCGTCGTCGGTGGCGGCGACGGATGACGGGCGGACCGAGAGCGGGCTGTCGGAGCGGAGCGCGTTTAGTTTTGTGCGTGGCGCTGTTGGTGGTGCTGGTGGAAGTGGAAGTGGTGCGGTTGGGGTTGGGGGGAGTGGTGCGGTGAGTGGTGCGGCTGGGGGCAGTGGGAACGGGACGGAGGATAGAGCGCTCCTGTCGCGGCTGCATACCACGCTGGCTACCACGGTGGCGGCGGCGACGGCGACGACGACGGCCGCTGGGGCTGGGGCTGGGGCTGGGGCTGGGGCTGGGGAGGGGCGGGCGGGCAGCAGCGGGGCGGCGAGCGCAAACTCGGGCAACAGCTACAACACGGCGCGGTCCAATTTTGCGGCGCTGCAGGCCGAGGGGCCGGCGCTGCTTCTGGGCCGCCGCCGCCAGGACCGCGAGGAAGCCGCCGGCGCGGGCGAGGATGAGGACTACGCCTACCTACCCAGCAGCCCCGGCAAGAGCAAGCCGCGTCGGAGCTGGTTTGGGAGTTTGAGGCGCGTGTTCAGCGGCGGCACGCCCGAGTCCTGGAGCAACGCCAGCGGTGAGAGCTTCCGCGGGGAGAGCCCGACGCGGGAGGGGCTACTTGCGTATGAAGGGGGCAGTCCGGACTATGACGGCCGTTCATACGGGGTCGGGCTACAGAAACGGCGGCAGGGGAGGGAGGCGTGGCTGGGCGGGGACGGGAATGGGGATGAGGAGGAGTGGGATAGGGATCTGGAGAGGGCGGCCGAGCAGCGGACGGTGCAGATTATGTTCACTGTGCCGAGGGAGCAGCTGCGGGTGGTGAATGCCGAGGTGGAGAGGGAGGAGAGCGTGCTGATCGTTGATCCAGATGACGAGGAGTATGTCACGGACGAGAAAGCATCAACGGCGCCGGTGGAGGCGGAGGCGTCTTCGCGGCCAGAACCTGCTTTGCTCTCACCCCCTCGGTTGGTGCCGCCAGGCGAAGACGACTACAGTGCCGCCGACAGACGATCCACCGCTACTCTTGAGCCACCGCGCGGCGGTTCCCCGTCCTCGTCAATGCGGGCAGCCTCCATCACAAGCACGACGCTCCATATCGCCGAAGCGGTGCGCTTAGAACGGCCGAGGACACGCGTGTTGGCGATGGTAGAGACCTTCGAGACACGGAGCCGAGAGGGGAGCCCGAGTGGAAGCCCCGGCGGTAGTCCCGGCGGGAGTCTGAGAAAGGGTTCATGATTTGATTTCGGTTGGTCTATTGTGTTCAGGGGCTCGGGGATTTCGGGGATTTCGGGTATGTCATTGGTGAATGTATGTATGTTGTGGATCATGATGGCATGTTGGATACGGATATCTGCCGACTCTCGCTCTCAAGGCTGGTTTGGTTGATCGGTTGTCAGCATGGGGTGGGACGGGGCTGCAGCTTGCGGTTCCGTGGTTATGGTTATGGTTTTCGGGTACTTGCGACTTGGTCTCTGGTGGTTTTGTTTCGTGTAGAGTTATTGATCGTGTGGGCTAGATGCTCGCCAATGCATTCCTCGATCATCGTGTCTGACCTCCAGACGTCCGTCATCCACCTTGCTGCTGTGTTTCTTGTTCCTGCATAAGGACCCGGATCACTCGTCTCACCGCTGTTCTTGCTCCTGCATGAAGACCTCACCTCGACGCGCGGTTGCTGCGAGGTATCTTGCCATTCAATCCATGTCTCTGGATCGAGTGTCTCCCACGATCCATAGAAGTGACGGTTTTGAGCACGTGGATAACTACATCACAGACATTTCGAGATTAAGCTTCTTACCGCCGGCGATGGTGATCTTCATCTTTTGCGGTTATGAGAAGAACGGCGCGGGGAGGTGCGCACGATCGGCGACGCTGGACTGTCTCTCACTCCAGTCTCAGCTGACACAGGTGCACAGGCTGAGTCCTTGGCTAGTTCCTCAGCACTTTGATGTTTCTGATCCCCACAGCACGGGCGCCACAGGGCGGTTGAAACCCAGCCATGTCCTGTCGATCCGCCACGTCTGTCCACACAGGGGTCTGCACCACGGGAAGCGCCGAAGCGTGTGACCGGACGCGCGGACAGGCGAGGTCCCGAAGCGCGAACGGGTTGTTAATAGGTGAGGAATTTGTGCATACCCTCGTGTGTTGTTTTGGTCCTCCAAGTCACACTCATCGAGAAGTCATTGGTAGTTGGGTTGCAAGAGCTGAGGGTGGCGGTGAGTTGGCGAGGTCTGTTTTGATCCGGGCCACACCTTCGGCGAGCACAACATCCGGCTGTGGCCTGACGCGGGCAAAAGGTACCTGACATTTGCGTGAGACATTGGCCATCGTGTCCAAGACGCAGCGCGCATTGTGATGGGGCGCGGGGCGAGAAGAGATGATGGTGTGGAGGGTGGGAACGAGCCGGGGAGTTCCAACCGTTGTTGGCCAACCGGTTCAGATCTCGTTATCGTTTGTTTACGAACACTTCGTACCGTATACAGCAGAGTAGATGCAGGTTGGGTTGATTTCCCCGCCTTTCCAGATCAAGAGATGGGGAGATTCGGCATGGCCGTCGGTGCCTTGCCAAGCCCGGCGACGGAAGCACCATCTGTGTCCGGCAAGCGGCAACTGGCCGTTGTTTAGGTATTCGTACACGGTAGCAGCTCCGGAGTGATTACGCGATAAACATCGGCTGACGGTTGGGGTTGTTGAGGCCATCCACGAGTGCGAGACGGATAGTGATGTGGATGAACCCCCCGCCATCTCCAACTGTCAGGATATCTTCCCATCGCCAACTGCACCGTGGCAGCTGCGGGCGCATCGCTTCCGCTTTCTCGGAATACGGCAGCATGCGCCCCCATATGGCCCCCCTCCTCCCGTGCTGCAGGCGTCCCTCTTAACTTCCACAATCGGGTGGGTGTGCATTTGTCGCCTGCTTGCGTGCTGCTCAGGAATACGAGAAAGGTCTCGTCTTTGAGGGCGACTGCTATTGCCGGCCAGTGCCGTGCCAAAACAGACACAGACGACTGGTCTCTCTCCAAAGGCTGCAACCGGGTAAGTTCCATGGGGGGACAGATCTTTAAGTTATACGAACAAGGTCCCATGAGTCGTGCAGTCAAACCGGCAACCCATGAGCTGATTGCCAAGACGACTAAAATCGCGACTATTTGTGATACGATGGAATGCATCTCCAACAAAATTGCCTCGCATCCTTCCATCCCTTTGTTGACTGCGGCACTGCGGTTACTTAACCAGTTCATACTTTGTGCTCCTCGATGTGCCGAGCATACCAGCCACCCAGACCGGAATAAAGGGAACCGAATTCTGAGGAGGGAGCCAGGGAGCCAGGGAGCGAAAAAGCGCCAAGGAGGGGGAGATGTTGGAGCAGCCGAAGAAAACGGGCTGCTTGCAGAAAGGGATGTTTTGGCGAGCAGAATCTGCGTTTTCTGGGTCTGGGGGAAGATCGGAAAGTGCCAGTGGTGACCTTGTGGAGGTGGTGACGCCATTCATTTGCCCGTCGCTGTGACATGGAGCTTGGCTCCCAGCATTGGATCTCCTCCCTTCCACCATGGACCCTGTCAAGCCTGTTCGAGCCTGGTGCTTTCGTGCAGCCTTTGATCGGATGGGACGAATGCGGAAATCTAAAATCCTGTCTTTTTTGTTTTCCCGCGAGACAACCGCTCGGCCGTCCAAACACATGAGAAAAAAAAAATCCGATAACTATCCGATGATACTACAATGCATGTTCCAGCCTGGTGACCTGAATCCTGAATCGAGGGCGATCGATCATCAATTCTGCACTCCCGCTATCCCGTTAGTTACTACGGATATGCAGGTTGCGAGCCCCTGGTTCTCCAGTTCTCCATGTCTCGGTGCCTGCCCTGTCCTCCCACTGGTGCCCTGTCCGGGCTCTGAATCATCGTGCTAAGCTGAAAACACCCTGCTCTGGAAGGAGCCCGCCGCTCGCTCGCCGTCCCCCTGGTCCCCACCCCATCGTTGTTGGTCCCAGGCGCACTCCATTTTCCCTTGCAGGGGCTGCGAACCTGTCCCGCTTTCTGTGCAAACCACCTCGCATTCCCGCTCACCCAGCTTTTCTTTCCACCTTTCGCCTTGCCAACTATACACAGCACCTTCATTGTCGGGTCAACCCTTCCTTTATCGCCAATCCGACCGGACTTGTCGAGACCCGACCAACTCGGTACCTACGCACTGCCGACACCCTCGACCTGGGCCTCGAATTCCCAGATCGGGACACACGAACAACCCAAGGACTACAATCCACGCGCCCCGTTACCCGCCTCTTTATTTCTGCTATGGCCGCCTGAGGTTCTGTCGCGGATATTCTCTTGGGCTGGCCGCCAGAGTGGGTTACTTAGCACCTCCCACCCCTCAATCCGATCGATCCGGCTGCGTTGAAGTTGGCCTCCCGATTTCAGAAGGCCTCATCGGCTGGCGCAACCACGCAACCCAACCCGACATCATCAGGTTGCCCGCCATGGCACCAGCACGAATTGCCCCGACATGGGCGAACCTCGGCATAGCTGCGCTGCTTTCCGGCATGGCTTGGGCGCAACAGGAAACTCCTCAGGGACCTTCAATTCCCTTGGAGTACTGCTCCACCGTTAACACGGGTGACATGGTTCCTCGTGAGTCAAGGCCCTGTTCATAACGTGCACCGCCATACTAACACCTTTCTCTAGTTTACTACGACTGGCAAAGTGAAGGCCGCTGCTTCGGCAATTGCACTAGCTTGAAATACGCCTTGGCCATTATCCAGGAGAAGAATTGTTGGTGCTCAAATCTCATACCCAACCGCGCCGACCGAAAACCGCTGGAGGACTGCCAATTCCCGTGCCCGGGCTATCCAACCGATTACTGCGGCGGAGGTGGAGTCTTTGCCTACTTGGAAGCCGCCGGAGGCAATCCGACAGGTACCGCCCCGCCTGGGGGTTCCGCCACGAAATCACCATCTAGTACCGTGAGTACTCTATTCTCTACTCCTCGTACTGACATGTCTGCCCACCTTTGCTTGTTAGCTCCGCGCGCCCCCCCCCCCCCCCCCCCACCCCCTTAGTTTTCTTGATCTGGTCCCCAACTGCCATAGCTTGGGGACCGGCGTGGCTAGTAAAGCTGAAACTGGGGGAAAACACCCCGGTCCGGCCCACGGTGACTGTGTCTTCGTCCGAATCCTCCAGTGTTTCGTCTTCAACCTTTTCTACTTCAACGACTGTATGCATTACGTTCCCCCGCGTGCCATATATGACTGCTTGTTGCGATTTCTCTTCGCCCTGTTTAAAACACATACTGACCTTGAATCTAGACGAGTGAGAGTGTGTCGAAGCCTCCGAGCGTGACGACTATCACTGTGGGCGGAACCGTTAGGACCGTGACCGCCCCCACCGAGCCGACCGCTTCCAACGACTCCAGCGTTGTCGAAAACGAAGGCTCCAGCCTCCAACCGGGCGCCATTGCCGGTATTGTCATCGGCGTCGTGGGGGGGTTAGCCATCATAGCAGCCGCTGTGTGGTTTTGCTTCTTCAGACGGCGGAAAGAGGATGAAGGGCCCAACAACGGTCTCGGGTCACCAATTAGGGGCGGCGGCTCACCGGGTAGAATGGCGACCCCCAATTCCGGCGAGGTCTCTGAGAACCGATATGCCGGCACAACAGGTGGCTCAGTTGCAGGGACGTGGGACTCGCAGAACAAGAGACGCAGCCACCTCATGCCCGTCGACCCCCGACTCGATCCGTTCGCGACGGGCATCTACCCCGACCAGAACAGGAGCCGCGAGAGCTTCAACTCGCTGCAGGATAATCAGGACTACTCTCGGAGAGTGCATCAGCCGCCAAGAGTCCTCAGGGCCATGAATCCGGATCCGGACGACTGAAAATACCATCTTCCGGCCCGAGTTTCGACCTCGGACCAGGTTTCTCATAACGATACGCGGACGGCTCTCTCTCTCTCTCTCTCTTTACAACATACATCTATCTGCATCATACGAGCTTGGGGTTTTTTTGTTTTGTTTTTGTTTCCCTTTTTACATATGCATTTCAAGATACCACGGCGTTTAGGTTATGGGCATGGCAGCAGATTTCATTTTTGGGGGGTCAACGCGACGGGTGGATTGCTTGGCTTCGCTTTGGCTAGAGGGAGGAAAACATCTTTTTTGGATGATGAGTATGTGCTTTCAGGATCCGTCTGGGAAAGAGGGTTATTGGTCACGTATAGGGCTCGGAATGGTGGAAAGGGCAGAGAGCCGTTAGTGGCATCATTTTATGGAACGCACCATAAGTCGGGAGTTTCCCACAATCCTGTCTGTCCTCGGAGGCTCATCGGGTTAGCCTAGGCGCATGAAGGTCTACAAACAAATACAAAATAAACTCGCCTATCACCCCGAAACTGTGACTGACAAGCTCCAAGCTCCATTTCTCTTCTTTACGCCCCACCGCCTGTCTGAGGATTCATCGCACGCCACGATGCTTACGCGGACTACCGCTTTCTATCGTCTAACACTAGACCGCGATTCCCCTTATCTGTCTCATCCACAAGCCGTGCCGCGTCTGTTGGGCCGTTTCACAGTTTCCACGCACTTCGGATCGGACTGCGCCGCCTGGCCCCCGCGTGCCCGGTGAGCTCAGAGAGAGCTAAGCACAGCTAAGCAAAACTGCCCAATTCGGCTGCCAAGCGGAGCTGACGCAGCTCGAAGCTTTGACGAACAATACGGATGGACTCGGCGCTTTCATCCGAATTATGGCTTACACAAAGAGGCTCGAGACGGTTTCAGGCTTTTGGGGCTACGAGGCTTCGTTCATCCTGATGAGACGCGCTGTGCCATTGCTTACTTACTTGTCTCTGAGTACCTAAGGTGCTCGGGTTGAATTCGTAACTCCAAGTCGCTCCTCAACTAGTCTCGAGTGTCTGACACACTGGTTGTTGGGCATCAACTGCAAACAGTCGGGCTTTGGGGGTTTGAGGCAGGGTGGCGAATCTGGAGAGAAAAGGGCAGAGCTGCTATCTTTTTTTTTGAGATATAAACAGGCACGTTTGATGATGATTGGCGCTCGTTGCGTCATCTTACATGGTGGCGGTTTAAGATTGGGTTGCTGTGTCTCTTGCAGAAACAGAGCCGGGATGCGGACTGGACGCCAATTCAGGGGTAAAAACAGCCTTTTCTTCCAATCAGTGAGGACATTGGTCCGCAGAGACTCACTAGTAACTCTACTAGTGAGGGCGTTTCGCGGTTGGTATGCAACTAGTTTTTAGTTGCGCGGTGTTTAGTGAACACCCTTTGGCTTTTCTTATCTCTGGATGGCGTCTCTGGACGTAAGAAGTACCGATGCAATGTAAAGTGGGACAATGTGAGAACAAGGCGGCAGAAAAGGATGCTACCCTAACTTCCTACCGCGGGGACTCGGACTCAACTCCTTGATAGCCGAGAATTCTTCTTTGAACCGCACCTCCGGGCAATCTCGGGATTTCTTCAACAGGGTGCTTGCCTTTGTTTCATGTGCGACGGCGGGTAGCTGTTTGATCTCGGAAGAGGTCTGAGACTCCGCGGTGACTCCGCGGTGGCGCCGCCCGAACGGCCACGACCGAGGGGCCGCGAGAGGTTGCTGTTGTGTGATGTGCTTCAATGCGAGCCGGGCCAATGCCGGGCAAGAAAAAGGCTCTGGTAACACGAGAATGTCTGTCAAACAGGGCCAGTATGCAAAAAGTCTTATCCGTAGAGTCAGCCAAGTGTAATTGATCTTTTGTCTAACCCCGCCACCGAATGCAATGTTGGTGGTATTTCGTCCAAGCACAACCCCAAAACGCCGAACACATGCCCCCCCTCTATTCCTCTACTGAGGGGAATGACTTGGACAAAGCCCAAGCCCGGTTCGTAAATAAGACCAACCCAAACGCCAATGTCCGCGGCTTGAGACACCGCACCGTGACTCCTCGCTTTATAACGTTTAAGATATTATATACAGTGGGTGGGGCACACCGTGGGTGATCGAAACCCGAGTTCGTCGTCGTAATAGAGGCCATATTATGTTCGATAAATGCGTGGAAGGAGAATAGTTTCCGGATGTCCAGGTTGTGTTGAATGGGAAGATTTTACAAGGGCCAATGTGGCCGGATCGTATGCAATCCACGCACTGCCGGCCGTGGGGGACATGATTCATCTTCATGCCCGCTCGCTCGCATGCACGAGATGTTGATGCGCCGGACGTGGTACAGTGACGTGCTCGGAGTATTGGGCCTGGCTCTTCACAGATGGCGCCGGGAAGAAGTGTAATGTAATAAGTGGAAATGTCTCTTGCCGAATGCTGATTCCGCCCCGAAACACTAGTAGAATGCGCCCCGGCCGCTGTCCTCGCGGTCTTGATGAAGCCGATGGGTAATGGTAAACTGTATCCGTATCGGCATCCTCCAATCTGATCTGATATGCTTCGCAATCTCGTATCGTAGTCTTTCTCCTTTCACCGTACTAAACACCTTGTGCTGATCTTGGCACCTCCCAGCCATCATTTGCTCGCGACATGATATGGTGTCGACAGCAATCATTACAAGCGCCGCTGTCGCTTATCTTGATGGCTTCCACTCCCCGCATCTACACCCTCGCTTCTGCGTTTCCGAGCCCTTTCATCGCCACGTGGATCTCCACGCTCATCACCCAATCTCGACGACCGCGATTCTCGAGGCGGCGCATTGCCCCTCGAAGTCCCACTCCGCCCATAATCCTCCCCTCTGCTTCCATCGCCCCTGCCTCCACCCGGTGGCCCGTCACCCCTCGGCCCAGGAGGACCCTCCCCACGATGGCCACGATGAGAACTCGACTCGCGCGGCGGTGCGAGATCTCTCCCACCGCCAGGCATCGGTTCTCGGCCACCGCCCGTCGACTCCCGCATTGACCGACGGGCATCCCTCTCGTCGCGGGTGCTGCTTCCCGGCACATTAGATGACCTCCTATCCCGATCTCTGTGATCCCGGGGATCCTTGGCGTCGCCACGTTCTCGATCCGGGGTACGCTCCCGGCTGCTGCGCCCAGAAGCGCGAGTGCTGCGCTCCGATCTGTGATGCTCGCGACGGCTACGGTCGTGCTCGCTGCGGCTGGAACCATAGTCGTCGCCATTCATAGGGCCCCGGTTGCTGGTGTCTCGGCTGTCGCGGGCGTCACGAGCATCGCGGGCGTCACGAGCATCGCGGGTGTCACGAGCATCGCGAGCGTCGCGGGTGTCGCTAGCGATCTGGATCGGTTCGGCTCCGCGCGGCGTACGGTCGATGCTCTCACGGCGAGATGAATCTCGGAATGACTCAAGTGGCCGTTCGTGAACGGGTGTACCTACAGGTGAGGCGCCAACTAGTATTTGGGCATCCGAACCCGCTAGGTTAGGTCGCGATCGAGACGTGCGTAGGCCTGGGCCGCGCGCGTTGTCGGCAGAGGCTTTGTCAAGCATGCTTTGGATGCCCCGGAGTTGTCGACCGCCTGGTCTCATCCTGTCGCCAGCAGCGGCAGGGCCGGTAGGGGCCGATGAGAAATCCGCACTAGGGCCGGACGGCGCTGATCGTGTTACCAAGTTAGGCGCCGGCATCGATGAACGGTCCGGGGTGTGCATCGGGGGCCGGGCTTGCGAGCCATGCCCAGGTGGCTGCGCAGAAATCTGGTTTAGACGATCCGGATGAACGCCTGATGGCCCCGACGACCCCGAAGGTGCTGTCGGGGGAGGGGGCGGCGGCGGAGGGGCCGGCATTTGGTTGATTTGACGGACCCTATCCGGGTGCACTCCCACCGAAGGGGGGGCGGCTGATGTTGGAGAGTTCAAATTGGCGCCGTCATACTGTCCTCGACGAGGACGCGAAGCGGAGGGCCCGGTTGGCGGGTGGCGCTCGGGAGTGGGTGGACGAATAGGCTCAAGAGCGGGGAACCTATTGTCTGACCGCATCGGTGGCCCGTTGGCAGGGCCGTTTCTGCCAGAAGACCGGCCACCCCGGCCTCGAGGACCCGAGGGCGCACCCACTGGCATATCGGCAACGGACTGGATGGGGTTCAGCCGGCCATAATTAGGGTCCTGCTGGTTAAGTCTCCCATGGTCGTGATCCGAGCGGGATTGGCCGGCGTAGGAGTCTCTAGGGCCGGCCTTCCTTTCCTCGCGCTCCGCAACCCGGTCCGGCCGTGAAGATGGAGCTGCAGTTTCCCTGTGCGCGTCCCGCGGGGTTTCGGGACGGGGGGAATGGCGATGCCGGCTATGGCGATCGTCACGGGTATTGTCCTGCTGAGGGGCGTCAGCTATCGTGCGATCGGATCGTCTTGGCGATTCCGTCCGCGGGGGGCGTTCGCGGGGCGGGTCTCTCGGCGAGGGACGGGTTGGGGGTTCCCGTGTGTCGTTGATGAGAGCAGCCCTGGCTGGATTGACCATTTCTGGTCGCTCAACATCGATAATTCGAGCGCGCTCCGGGTTGATCAATGGCCCCTGAACCGTATTTTGCATGGCGGGCGCCGACGGGGTGGGGGCAGCAGGCTCTCTTGCAGGCCTCGAGTCGGATCGGTTCGGGCCGTGAGGAACTCCCCTCTCCCGTGGCGGCGGGCGGCTATCAGGGCGGCTGTCTCGATCGCCGGGCAGCGCATGGTCGTGTCGACGCGGCGGCATCTCTGTTCGCCCTCGGTCAGGAAGTCGGTTGGGTTCACGGCCAGCATCGCGGCCAGCAGCTCGCGGACCTGGTTCACGCTGTCCAGCGTCAGGCGCACGCCTATCGGATGCTGGGATGTCGCGAGCGGGGCGCTCTGGGCGTGGCCCTTCCGGTGTGCGGTAGTCTCTGTCCTGAGCAGCTTGGAGATCACGAGCATCCCGTTGATGTTGATCCCTTGGCTCCCGGCCGTCCCGATAGTCCCGAGCGTCTCTCGAAGGGATGTCTCTCCTGTCATTCCGAGGCGGACCAAACCTGGATCCTGGTACATCAGGCCTGCTGGGCAGATCTGGCCTGCTTGGAAGGCCGGGTCCACCAGGTGGGAGGGTCGAGAACCTGGGTGGCGGTTCTTGTCGATTGGCGGCGTGCGGCGTTGAGAGAGGCTTTGGAGTGATAGGCCTGCCGGGATTGGGGGCCGCCGAGCTTGTCCTTGGGGCCGGAGCGTCCCTTGGCGGTTCCCTGGCCGGTAACGGCCGCGACAGGCTCGGCCCGTTCACTCTTGCACCCGCCTTCCCAGCCTTCTTTTCGTCGACCTCTCCATCTTCAACCTCGGAGGGATGGGGTGGACGGGCGCTACCAGACCTGAATGTTGCCGCTGAACCTCGAAGGGATGAGGTGGTTGGCACTGCGGATCCTTTCTCGTCTTTGCCGTCGCTCTTCTGTGGACGGTTAGCGTCTATCGCCCTCGGAGTCTTAGCAAAAGTACTTACAGCGCCCGGTCGGAAAGCTTGGACTAGGACCCATTTGGACTTTCTCCTCGCCAATTCAGAGTATGTGGTCTGCGCTGTCACGGACAGGTCGACGCGGTGCCCTTGGGTGGACTCGGGGGCGTTGGGGTTTGCCGACTCACGATCCTTAATGGTGTTGAGCTGCTCCAGGAACTTGTCCGCCATGAAATTGATGGCCGGGAAGAAATCGATGACACCCTTGAGGATGCTGATTGCATTCCGGATATGCATCCATTCCAGACCGTTAAGGCATGATCGCAGAGCGGTGTTGAGCTCCTTGTGCCAGCGGAACAGGATTTCCTTAAAGGCATCATGCTCGGTAAACTCGGTCGGCTTGCCCTTGTCGTCAAAGGCCGTAGCAAAGCCGATGTATTCCCTAGTCTTAGCGCCCTGAAGTTCTCTCAGACCCAACGCCTCCTTCTCGTAGGCAGTCTTGCTGCTGTGCCACTTAGAAAGGTCGCTGAGGATAAACTTGAGGAAGCGGGCCAGATGCTCTGCCTCGCGGACGGTACAGGCAAAGATCAGGGCACGGAGGCGATTGTGGTTGAACAGCCGGTCGTAAAGCGGCATGAGCTTGAAGTTCGACTTCGGATTCTCGTGCAAGAATTTGATCAGCCTGAAACAATAGTCCGCATCCACGGGCGAGACTTGCAAACGAGGCAAGATGCATTCTTCGAGCAGCGTATCCGACGTCGCGTTGGGATCTTGGATACCCGCAGGGAACCAGCCGTTGGTCTGCCTGCCGATGTGAAGTTTGGTTTTCTGAAATCGTTCAATCCCATCCTTCATCTCTTGGACGAGGCGCTGTTGCTGATCCATGACGTCTTCGCGTTTCCGTTTCTTGGTGGCAATCGAACGAGGGGTGTCCGACCGGTCGGTGGCCGATAATTCTGCCACCTGTGCCTTGAGCCTTTTGTTCTCGGCTTCGTAGCTGTCCTGAGGCCAGACCAGATTTCCCAGATGCAGGGACCAGAAGAACACGTAGCATGCTGGCGAGATGTACCGCCACGACTGCTGGGGCAAAACCTGGGGAATCCCGTCGATAAGCGGCGCAAGAGCGTCGGAAAGCGATTCTGGCAAACGGCTGTTTGGTGTTTTTGGTGGCGGGCTGCTGCCATCCCTGGCATCTGTGTCGTTGGCGTCAGTCTGGGCTGATGCACCGTCAACCGTCACCGTCTCCATGGCGACGTCGCCGTCGATGTCTGTTGTGGTCTTGGCAGGTTGCGGCGGCCCGTCTTTGGCAGAGGGGAGGGCCTTCGTGTCCCAACGAATGCTGTTCCGCCGAATCATGAAAGCAAGATTAGCGTCGAGGCCGTAATCCTGCATGAGCTGGATGACGTCGGGCACCAAGCTGTTGAAAGTGTCGGGATCTAAATTGCTGAGGAGCAGGTCAAGGTACCGGCAGAGAACCTTATGGGCGCCGTCAACAAGGGTGGAGAGGTATTTGATGACCGCGTTCCCATCCGTGATCTGATAGATCGCGTTCTGTCGATATTGGGCGATATTGATGAGAAGCTGCCCCGCCAGGTTTGATTGCGACAAGGCCTTCATAAGACGCTGTGCGCTCCGTACTGCCAGTTCCCGCTTATCACCGAGGTTGACAAGCGTCTGGCGGCGAAGTAGTTCCCCACCGGTCATGCCACGCAGCTGGGCATCGGTAAAATCAAACCCAGAGACGATGCCCCCCATGGACTCAATCAGCTCTTCCAAGATGAGCAGGTCAGTCGAGTTGCCCTGCAAAAGCTGGCTGTGAACGTAGCGGAGAATAGGCAATGGGTCCATGTTGGAATAGCGCTGAAACACTTTCCCAGAGAAGCGCGAGAGCGCTTGAAGCCACTTGCTTGTGAGCAATACTGAGGTCGCCTGAGTGCGGCTCCTCTCCTGGCCGGCAAGAGAGCTCAATACGGACCAGACAAGGACATCGTATCCTAGATCGGTGAAGTACTTGGCGCATTCGACGAAGGCCTCGATCAGATTATCGTACGATTCGATCTGTTGCAGGGCAACCTTGCAAACGATGCCGGGCGACGGGTAGGCAATCTTTGCGAGGTCCTTGGCCATCTGGATGATGTTGCTGTGCGACAGCCGCTTCATCTTGCTAAGGGTATGCAGCCTTGTCTGAGCGAAGGCCCTTTGCACGGGCTCAAGTCGAGAGGTAGGCCCCTCGTACCACTCAGCGTAGACGTTGAACCGGTCGCGGACAGGGTACTGTTTGAGGAGGGTCCATACACTGTCGACGGCCGACGAGTTGGGGTCGCCCATGCTCAAGGACGGCACCAGCAGGCGCTTGAGCAAGTTGAGCCAACGCCCCGCATTGTCGGGTGATGGATCATCGTGAAGGTTCTTATTGCCGATTCGGGCAATTTTTGCAACCAGAGCGGCGTCCAGGCCGATATTTACGCCAATGATGTTGAGGAACGAGTCGCAGAGGGTAAAAATGTCGTCCACGGTCTGGCAAACTGGGACGTTGTCGGCCCACTCATCCCAGTAAAAGCGGTAGGAAGGCCCATCTTTAGCATCGTTCTGGTCTGCGTTCGGCCATCTCAGCGCGCGTTTGGGGGCCGGTGTCTTGAGCTTCAAGTGTCCTTTGGGTGCGCCTGACTGGTCGGGATCCAGCTGCTTTTTGCCGGGACATTCGGCCGTAACCGAGGGCGTCGGGCAGCTCTTTTGGAAGACGGCCTCGACGGAATGGTGGAGAATGCGGTGAAAGAAGCGGGATGAGGTCGGGAAATGCTCGTAGGATCCAATCGTGCCCGCCCGATGATGAAAAGCGAATTCGGGAATAGCGCCAATGGTGAGGAGGCACTTGAGTAAAAGGACTTTCTGGTCATCAGGCTCGCGCAACTCGGGCTTTCCCCTCCGTTCGGTTCCGAGGCCTTGTTAGGAATCTAATTTGCTCGCGGGGGCGTCGCGGCGGGGGAGGACTGCCTGGCGGCGGGGGCATGTCGTCCCGGGGAGGGCCCCCGCCTATTCATCAAGGCATTTTGCTCGCCACCCGGTCGACTCGCTTTTGCTTTATCCTCGAGTTCTTTCATCTTTCGGACCTTGACGCCCTCCATGTCTTCGTCCAGCGGCCATACATGATTCCAGAGGTCAGTTAGCGAGATGAACCCGACTTTGATGAGCAGTGAGATGAGATAGAGTAGGTTTGCGGGCAGGGTATCCTCGGGGTCACGAGCTTCGGATGTATAGAAGCGTAGCTTGAAACCCAGCATCTGGGCAGCATCCCGGTTGCCTGGTGGTGGCAGGGTCTTCGTGATCTTGATCCAATCTTGCTCGATGCTCGATTCCGGACCGCCTTCGGTGGTGCCCGTTGCCAGGCGCTCCTCTTCGGATGCGGCGAGTTGCCTGCCGCCCAACTCAAAATAAGCATCGAGCTTGAGCTTGCGGGCTCGTTCCCAGAACGCAATGTCCCGTTCCAACCGCTGCTGGGCGAGGTCGACCTCTTCTTCGGCGGTGGCGGCCCAATCGTCATGCTGGGGCAGAGCCCATATAGGTAGGCCGCCGATGAATAGCTTGCTCGGTAGACTAATTTGGCTGCGTGGCCACCACGAGCTAACGCGTAAGAACTTGATAAAAAACCGGAACTGTTTGATCAGCACGGCGGCGAAGACATCCAGAATGACATCCAGTACGCGACCAGGGTGCAGGTCAAAGGTCCCAATAAGGCCCATAACCTTGTTGAAAGTGGCCTGCACGACGTCGGATCTGGGCGGATCGGCACTACTAGTGGTGAACAGCTCGGTAACGAGTTTTGCAAAGCCCTCAGTTTCTTCACGCAATAGGTTGTAATTTGCTTGGCGGTACAGCAGGTTCGTGGACTGGCGAACTCCCATTCGGAAAAAGGTTTCGCGAATCAGATCCAGATATTGAAGAATTGGCGGGTCCAGGATGATGCGCATGAGGGCCGGCGATACGTTGGTTGCGACCATGAAGTCGTGCAGCTGCGGCCGGAGCGGGCCGGATTCGACGTCCATAAACGTAGACACAGTGTCGAGGAATAGGGTATGAGGGTCGAACACGGCAGCATTGCGATCCGCATCAGATAAGTCAGGCCCTAGAATCTCCTGAACAACTCCGCCGGCATCGGTGCCGTCAAGCCGGGCGTCGGTGACGGAATGAATGAGCTCCTGGAATATCATAGCGACTTCGGTGAGGTCCTCATCCTTTCGCGACTGTATGCCGTGCTCGATGACTTCCTGCCGTGCACCCTTCGCCCATCTGGTCACGCGATCATCGGTAACGATGCTGTAATCGTAGAAGGGCTGGATGGGGGAAGGCGGTGGTGCTGGGGTAGCTGGAATCGACGGCGGCGCCGGTGTTGCTGTTACTGTTGGAGGGGGGACGGGGACCGAGGACGACGAGCTCGATGGCCTCGGCAGCGGCGGCGATCTGGGACCGGGGCCGTTGGGTGACGGATTCAGGACATGAGACTGGGAGGAATCGCGACGCTCTCCTCTCCGAGAATTCCTACCGCCACGGCTGTTACGGCCTCCATCGAAGCTTCGATCGTGTTGTCCCAATGTGGTATCCGAGGGCCGATGTGGGGAAGGCCGTGAAGTTCCAACATCGCTCGGACCCCGATCGTTTCTTTTGCGCTTCGGAGCCATCGTCAAAGAAAGAGTCGCAGAAGCCGGGTCATTTATCGAGGTGCGGCGGGTAGCCGGGAGTCGACGTCGTGTTTCGCAATAAATGAAATGGCGCCAATTCTGGAGATTCTTGAGTGCACAAGTTAGAAGGCAATTTTGCTGACGATGCGAATATGGAAGGATGGGAGTGAGGGGATGCGCGAAGCGGTTGGCTTTTTCGGACAAGGCGCAGGCGGGAAAAGAAGGCCAAAGAGCGACCGGCAGGTAATTAGAACAATAGCAATGAATGGTAAACTGACCTATTTGACAAATGGTTTGAACAACACGTGCTGTCCCGCGCACCGACAAAAAAAGAGGTCGGTGTGGGCTGCCAGGTGATGACTTACGATGGTGGCTCAGAAGTCGGAGGTCGGAAGCAGAACGAGCTTCGCGTCAAATCGCCAAATCGCCAAATCGTAGCTTGGCGCGGCGTTTGGCAGGCTGGCACTCACTGCAACAACTTGCAACAAAAAGCTCCAGATAGGTGGGTCAGCCTCATTTGACAAGGCTGCCAAGTGGAAGGTTTGGGGTAACGAGTATTCGTAAGGTAGCGGCTACTTGCATGTTACGCAGAACTTGGCTGTAATTGAAAGTAAAGGAAACTTATTTCAGAACAACAAGCGCGATCGGCCGGCCGAATGGTGACCCACCAACGCACTGGCCGTCGAGCCCGTCCAACGGCCGATTGCCGGCCATTCGGAACAGCCAGACTCTCACTCCTTGTTCGGGGGACATGGATGTTTCTGGCAATTGCGCAATCCACGCTTGCGGCTCCGATGCAGATTCCGCCCCAGATGCCGCCCCAAAAATGCTGTTACCGCTGTGACTGATGCCGACTCCTCTCCATGACTCCCGCATCTGAATCCCCCAGATTCTGAAAGCGCGGGTCAACTGCCGTGAAAGGGCTTCCCAGATAAATAAATTCCTTTAATTCCCTCCAGTTCCTGAAATTACCCCCTTCCCCCCCAAAACCATCCCATATCCTTTCCCCTTCATCTTCTTCATCCCACTATACACCATGACTCCAGATAGTGTGCAGAACGGTCCGAGGCCAGTGTACGGTGAGTCAATCCCAGTATTTTCTGGTCGCTACCTTAATAACCTTCACCCTCGTCTCTTCCCACCCCATCCATTCCACTAAACACGCTCATGCCTTTCCGTCGACAAGAGCGGTGACTGAATACTTCCAAGAAAGAATACACTCGCAGCCCGAGAACCCGTTCGCGGAGCTCATCCCGCACCAGCAGATCGCCGTAATCCCGTCTTTCACTCTTGAATCAGGCGTCACGCTTTCCAATGTGCCCGTAGCATACACCACGAGAGGCACCCTCTCCCCCGATGCCGACAATGTCATGGTCATCTGCCACGCCCTCACTGGCAGCGCCGATGTAGGCGACTGGTGGGGTCCTCTGCTCGGCGGGCCTGGCCGAGCCTTCGATACGTCGCGCTTCTTCGTCGTGTGTATGAATAGCCTGGGAAGTCCTTACGGCACCGCCAGTCCGGTTACCGCTAAAGACGGCGATCCGTCCAAGGGCCGGTACGGGCCCGAATTCCCTCTCACGACCATCCGAGACGATGTCCAGTACGTATCCCGTTTCATCTTTGAGAGGCGCTGATTCTCATCTGTGTAGGTTGCACAAGCTGCTCCTGGACGAACTTGGCGTCAAACAAGTTGCCGCGGTCATCGGCGGGTCACTAGGCGGCATGTTCGTTCTCGAATGGGCGTACTTCGGCAAGGACTATGTGCGGTGCATCGTGCCCATCGCCACCTCGAGCAGGCACAGCGCTTGGGGAATTAGCTGGGGCGAGGCCCAACGACAGTCCATCTATGCCGACCCCAAGTACGAAGACGGCTATTACTCCTTCTCCGACCCCCCTTCGACCGGGCTAGGCGCAGCACGCATGGCTGCACTTCTGACGTACCGAAGCCGGAACTCCTTCGAGGCTCGCTTCGGCCGAAACATCCCCGACCCCTCACGACGACAGACGATCCGCGAGCGGCCAACGCCTTCCACGCCCTCCGAAGCCCACTTCCATACTCATAACGACGGACACAAGTGGACGCGAAGCCCATCCCGCAAAAACAGCGACGGGGAGCAGGCCCCAAAGTATGACCAAGGCGGAGACGCATCCCTCGATCCGCAGTTTCACGGGCCAAAGAACGGCAGCCTCACGGGCGGTGAAGTAATGCCAACGAGTTCGACGTATTTCTCTGCTCAGTCGTACCTACGCTATCAGGGCGGCAAGTTTGTCAAGCGCTTCGACAGTAACTGCTACATTGCCATGACCCGCAAGCTCGACACTCACGACGTGAGCCGGGGCCGTGCTGGGACAATAGCCGAGGCTCTGGCCATGATTGAGCAGCCAACCCTGGTTCTGGGTATTGAGAGCGACGGCCTGTTTACGTTTGCCGAGCAGGAAGAACTGGCACAGCACATCAAGAACGCTCGGTTAGAGAGGATTGACAGCCCTGAAGGTCATGACGCCTTCCTCCTGCAGTTTGAGCAAGTCAACCATTACACGCTCGACTTTTTGAGGGAAGCACTCCCGGATATCATGAACAAAAACACCAACGGCGTGGCGGTGGAGAGCTCAGTCGGTGAGCTGACCAAGAGCAGCACGTTCGGCGAGGCTGAGGTAGAGGACATTACGGCGTGGTAGCGGGCAAGGCGGGTTCCGAGTCTCAAATCAATCAAACCTAGAATTTTCATGCCTGCCCGGATATCGTCGATGCCACTTGCCGTTGCCTCCACACCCTACTCAGGCGGCATCTCATTGGGCAGCGAGGATGCAAGCGGCTCATCAGTGACGTGCGGATGCGGGAGGAGGTTTCAGGGTCGCCGTCTCCCGATTGAGCTGCAAGCACGTTGGGCGTGGCGGCGTGGGGGAAGACCAGCATGAACTCTGCACCCCGCAGAACGTGCTCTCTGCAACACGGGCTACATATTCTGCTGCGCAGGGCAGCATGCTTCCAGCTCCATTGTGGGACGACCGTTCACAATCAGAATTGAATACTCCAACGTGAGGTGAATCTCATTGTCTGTTCCACTCAGGCTATTTTGTGATAGAGAAAAGGCTTCGGTTGGACTAGGGAAAATAAGACGGGCTCCAAGGAGAGAAATATATTGGATTTGACAAGTTGCAATCCATCAAATGCGTTCAAGCCAGCTTCTGGCTGTGAGCCACGCTTTACAACTCAACTTCCTCACCCCCCCCCCCCACATTATCTCTTTTTATTTTTTAGTTAGAGAACGACTTGGACGATGCGGCGTGAGTGGTATCCCGAGTCAAGCCTCATTCCTTCTATCCGGCCATCTTTGCAGGGCGGACAACTTATGAAGTCACTCACTAACACGGCTGTGTCATGAAATAGCGGAGGCTCGAGCTATGCGACATCCTTGGCTTCGAGTGTGCTCGACTATCCTTTTGAGCATGGCCGTCGATATCACGCTTTTCGAGCGGGTAGTACGTTCCAAGCCGAATATCTCTTTGTAACGGTCAAAGATGCCGACATTATCGATCATAAATTCTAACCCGAGGCTATGTGATAAGCAGGGTATTCGCGACCAAATGACGAACAGGAAATGGAACGCCTCGTACTCCTTCATAATGTCATGACAAGGCTCGTCGGCGGGCTCTATGCGGCGCCCATTGACAAGGAAAAGACCCGTCGTATC